CTTCGCACAGGTTCCAGCCAAACTCGAGCGCCCTGAAGAGCGTGTAGATGGCGATGGTGACGCGCAACTGCTGGGAAGGGTAAACGCCCAAGAACACACCGGCCAGCGAGGCGCCGATGGCGGGGGCGTACGGAGACGTCAAGGTCGCCGCTGTGCGCGGGTTTCTTTGGCGGAAGGGCGCAGCCGTGGGGTCGAGAAGATGGGCGCGCAGGCGAGCAAGGAAACGGAAGAGGATGCGGTAGAGAAGGAGGATGGTGGACAGAGATAGCGAAAGGCGAAGTGTCGGCGACTTGTGTAGTGGTTGTTTCTGTCCAGCAACAGCGGGACTGTCTCCATGTCAGCATCTAAATGTCCTAGACATCCTTGGAGGCACTTACTCTGGCTTCGCGCCCAACAGCTTCTGGGAGATCAAGGCCCATCCCTTCATCGCAACCGCCGTTCCGATAAACACACGCAAGGAATGCCGCACGGCGCGCGCATTGTAATCGTCCACCGCCCGTCCTCCAGCACCCGGTCCGGCATTCTGCTTCGGCTTCTCCCCTTCAACGATGCGCTCGACGGCACTCACGCTCGGCGCAGCCCTCTTGAGGATGCGCGACCGCGAGAGGACGTACTTGTGCAGGGTGGCATACTCCTTCGCGGAGATAGTGTATCGCAGGGTGTTTCGGAGGACGGGGTCGGTGACGCTGCTGCGCGAGGGCGGCGCTCGCGAAGGACCGCTGCCGGCAGGACGAGGACTCGGGGTGGAGGCAGCGGCGGCGCCGGCTGGGCCTGGCCGCGACGACGAGGTCGCGGCGGAGGCCATTGGAGCAGCTGACTATCGCGGGGACCGGTTCGGTAGTGAGAGAGTGGTATGCGACGATAAGAGGCGGCGGAGAGATGGAGGGAGGTGTCGTGACTTGTCGTGTGCTTCGGGCGGAGGTTTGGAGAATCTGGGGAAGCGTGAGGAGGGTTTGGTCCGAACTGAGGAAGCTCCGTTAGCACGTGTCAATGCGGGAACTCTAGCGTCGGCTTTGCGCGATGACCTCAACGACCGGGGCCGACGTCTGGGAAAGGAGAGTTGGACGTACACGGAGCTGGGCAATGTGGTTGGGCGCGGCGGCAATTAAGTTGAGTATCGCAGACGACGAAAGAAGCAGAAGAAGAAAAGAGTTAAAAGTTGGTTATGTAAAGTAATTAAGAGAGAGTGTGGTAGCAGTGGTCGCGCGTGTATGTGTGTGGAATGCGGAACTCGACGTTCGCACCTTCAGCTTTGGGCGTCGCGGAGGTCGGTTGTACTCGCACAGTTGCAGATCTCCTTAGCGACTGGAACATGGGAGTTTTAGCCCCCCCCCACAGCTACTCGCTAGATATAGTTAAAAAAGACGTATTATTACGCCTAGTCTAAGCTATAAGTTAATATACTTATATTTTATAGTGAAATTAATATTTTTAAGGTACCTATACTTCCCTAAAGACTAATTAGTATTTCTCCTCTTTTTTTCTAAGTTTATAATATTCCTCTCTATATACTTCTAACCTTTATAACTTCTTCTTACTATTACTATACTTACTTTATTTTATATTAAAAAATTACTATTTTTTTACTATAATAAATAACTTTATTAAATTATTAGATCTTTATAACTCTAAGGTTAAGTATTATAATAAATTTAAGGAATATAACCTTCTTATTAAACTTCCTTACTTTCTTATTAGTATTAGTTTTATTAATAACTTTCTATAACTTCTTTTAGCTTTAGGGATATTATTAATAATCCTTAAAACTAATATTAATAATAATATTAACTAAGAAGCTAAATAATACTCTTTTAATAACTTAATACCTATTATTTAGTATAGCTACTATAATAATAAGGTTTATAGGTACTTTAATAACCTTAACCCTCTTTAAAGAAATTACTATAGTAACCTTCTTTTAATAGCTAGCTTACCTTTCTATAAGATAACTTTAGAGCGTTAGTAATATAAGATTAATATTAACTATAGTAAAACCCCTCTTAAGATCTAAAAAGAGTTTATACCTCTTACTAAAGTTACTAAGTAAGTAGTATAGACTAACTATAAGTTAGAGATATACTACTTTAAAGCTTTAGAGGCTAATAATACTATATATAACCTTATTTAGAGCTTTAAGTTATTATAGTAGACCTATAAAGCTAAAATATATATATTTCTCAGCATACTAATATATATAACTATCTACTGCAAATTATACCTTAATAATTATTAAGCTAAAGGTAAGCACTTACTTAACTATAAGATTAATTATTAGATCTCTTATAACTACTTTAAATAGCTTTATTATAATTTTATTACTTATAACCTTAATTTTAAAGCTAAGAAGGGCTACCTCACTATCTATAAGAGGGTTACTAATTAGAGTAACTATTTCTAAGAAGTATTAATATACTTCTAAACCTCTAATAATACTCTTACTATTAATAAGAGTATAATATATTATTAAGGCTACTACTCTAATAAGTAATATATATCTAATAAGCTTATACTTATTAGCTTTAAAGTATAAGTTATTAGTAAAGCTAGGTATTTTTTATATTAAGCTTAATATATAAATTATAAACTACTTATTACTCTTCTTTAATATAATAAAGGTATTAAGAGACCTCTATTAAATATTAAAGCCCTTATAATATAACTTATTCTCTAAATACTATTACTAAGTAGTTATTAATAATACTACTTATTTATTAATAACTTATTTATATTAGTTAACTTACTTTAATACCTCTATTAATATAAAGTTATTATTATAAGTACTTACTAACCTAATAGTAAGGTTATTAAAATCCTCTATAATATTAAAAGCTATAATAATAACGCTAAAAAGATACTATAGAGCACTATCTTTATTATACTTATAGATAATAATATAGTTAACTAGCTTTTATTTAAAGATAGTTCTCTTATTTTAATAGTAACTACTAGCTTTTATAATAGAAAGTATATTTAGCTTAAGCTATATAAGTAGCTAATAAGTAGTATAACTTATTTTAAAATATTATAAATACTTTTTAAAATAGTTAATCCTACTATAAGAGAAGTAGAAATTACTTATATAAAGCTACTACCCTTCCCTCTTATCTACTATAAATATAACTAATATATAAATACTATTAATATTAATAACTAATACTAAGTAGTATATACTTATAGATATTATATATATTATAGAGGAGCTTAAGTATTTAACTTTAACTTTATCCTATTTATTAATATAATAAATACTTACTTAATATTCTAAGAAGCTTTTTATAATACTTCTAATATATCTAGAGATATATAGAATACCTATTAAACTTAAAGTAAGTTCTAATAACACCTCTATAAAGAGATTATTATAAAATATAGTGAGGAGGCTATTATTATATAGTTTTCTTTAGCTATACTAAAATAGCTATTTATTTATATAAACTATACTTTCTTAGTATTATTAAAAAAGAGGCTTTATATATAGTGTTTATCTAAGTTTTAAAAAAAGGTCCTTAGTAAGATTATTATTAATATCTCTAGGGATTATAGGATAAATTTTTAGTATTTAGATTATAGTATAGCCCTCTATAAGAGGTACTAATAGAAGTACTATAGTAGATAGTATTAGTAATATTAGCTAATATACTATATTTAGTATAATTTATATTTATATTTATTACCTCTAATTAGACTTCTTACTAGCTAAATATACGCTATAAGTGTTTTTTTTGAATATACTATAGGTACTAAGGGCACAGTCTGACTGGCTACCACACGTGGGATCTAAAACCCCCATGTTCTAGTCGCTAAGGAGATACCTGGCGCTACTGGGCTGGGCGTCAGGCGTCACGGGAAAGCCACTGGACCCCCAAGGAAATAAGCGCGAGAAGGGAAGCAAGCACATGCCTCGGCTCTCAGGCAATTCATCACTGATCCCTGCCGTCCCGGGGATGGAGGGGCCCAAATTCGACCACTGAAGAAACAAACACCACTGATTGGCCCAGCCGACGTCGCTAGGTCCAAAGAGTGCCCCTCGCGACAGGGGACTTCCCCACACTTTTCCTCCCAGATGCCACTCTCGGAGAGGTGCGCCATCAAGTTTAATGACCTGTTCATGCATCCTGTTGATAGTCGAAGAAATGTTTAAATCTTCGCGTCTGCTTCTGTCTTTGTTGTTGGTCTGTGATGTCGCGTTCCTTCGTGAGGATCGGATATTCTTCCCTTTTTCGATCGCAAGCGCAACAGGAGCTTCGACAGCATCACCAGATACACCCATCCAGGCCGCAAACACTTGCAAATGTCTTGCAGATTCATCAGTACACACTATGAATACCTAGCAAACGAGTCGAGGCCATGGCAAAATAACAACCCGCCCAACCTGTCGGTTCTCCGGCGTCGCCTGGGCTCCCCGCAACACTCACTCCTCATAAGGAGCCTTCATTTTTCTCTCTCTCAACCCATACATCACCGGGTATACACGTCCTCCCCACAACCGGCCCGTTGATCTTTCCGTGTCCCCCTTTACCTGTCCTCATCCCATCATTTGCCATCCTGCCCACCGGCCGCTGTTGAGGGGTTACAACCTCGTCCAAAAACACCTGCCCATGGCCATGCGTCAACAAGTCTGCCCATTAGGTACCCGTCTGCTAAGCCCTGCCATCAAGGATGAGCAGACATTCAGCTAAGAGTCTGACATGACTATCAACACACACGCGCGCAAACAAACCAGACCAACACAGATGCCCATAACAGCAGAACCGCAGCACAAAATGCCCCATTCACTTCCACGCTTTCTGTAGCTTGGACTTTTCCACAAAAAACTGCCAAAAGAACACCATGCGCAATGCCCAAACCATCAACCGATCCCTCCTGAAAAGGAATTGCCGCTTTTTTTCTTTTTGGTCATCATGTGAATGCCGAATGCAGACCGCCCCGAATAGTCGTCGTCGATCTTTTTTCTTTTGAGTCTCCGTGTCGTAACATCGTAATCCCGGCTAATGCTTGATTCAAGGATAAGCCGGGCGGCCCGTGTTCTCCACATGGCCGCCGCCATTCTGAACCATCAGCGGAACCCACTGCCGGCCGAGGGACGGCGCGTCGCCATTGACGTACGACACCACTTCCTCCCGCCAGCCGAGCCCGTTCCACTCCTCAGCCACGCGGGGCTCCACGCTCTGGAGACCGTAGAAGATTGACTCGGCGTCCGGAATGACGCCAGCTCTTACGGCCTCAACTGCTCGGTGTCTTCTGGCTTCACGCTCGTTGACAACGTCCAGCATGATTTGGTGGCGCGCTTCGACATTGGCCCATCCGTTGACGTTGCCGAAGCCACTCGATTCAAGAGTCGGCTTCAAGAATGCGAAGGGCAGGTTGATGAGGATGCTTGACAGGATGGACTGAATGTTTCGCTGCTGGGGCGACAACGGTGAGGGCTCGGACACCTTAGAGCCGTCATGGTTCAATGCCAGATCGCCGAACTGGATGTGCATTGGGCGTGAACGACGGTCCTTACCCGAAGTTCCGTGGGCGATGGTCGGGGTGCCTTCACGGGTGGGCGGCATGGCAGGGACAGACGGGATGCGAGGATAGCGCTCAGGATCGGCTACAGACGTGTCCAGAGTGAAGTCTGTCGGGAAGTTGTTGACGAGGAAGTTGATAATCCCGTTCATCAAAATCTGGACTGCGTCACCGTAGACAAACTGGGTGTGGCGGTCGGCTGAGGCACGGCCCGCTACATCACCCAGGGCGAATGCGATGGCTCGCTCAATGGTGGACCAGCCGAGGGAGTGAGAGGCAATCTCCATGCCACGGACAACAATTGGGTGCCAACCCAGCGCGTGGCCAGCTGCGGCGTAACCAAGGGCGAATTCGAACCGGTCGTCGGCCGTACCGGCCATGCCAAGACCGCCGTTGGCACTGGGGTCCGGAAGGCCAAGCAGGGGGTAGGCATAAAGATGCTGAACTGCCATCCAAAAAGCATCGGAGCGAAGGTACTTGTCGTCGGAAGGGAGAAGAATCATGCGGTTAGCACCCGGCGGGCTAGATTCGAAGCTCTCAGACTCGAGGATGTTCTTGATGACCTGACTTCTGGCAAGCACTAGGCGGTGGCCGGGAATTCGGACGGGAGGATAACGGTCGTCCAGATATCGGAGCTCCAGGGTACAGTCAGCGAATGTGGTATCACGGAACTGTGACCGCAGGTAAGCGGTGAGTCCATCCAATGCCTGGGCTTCGTGTCCGGGATGCATCATGTGCGGGGGCGGGATAGGACCAGGCATCATCCGCTGGGGTGGTACACCGAAACCTCCGGCCTGGGGAGGGTGAGGGCGAGCGTCATCGAGGTGGGAAGTACCGTTGGGGATGCCAGGCGCGGGGTAGTGGTTGTAGGCACCGACGTCCTCCGCCTGAGCCGACGAGTGGGATCCCTGGAAGCTGTGAGGGGTGGACGGTCCGTAGCCATTGACGTACGGGTGGTACTGCTCCATGCCAGGAGGACCTGGAATCGGTCTGCCAAACTGGTCTACGGCGGTTCCAGGGACAAACTCGGTGCCATAAGGCATTTGAGGAGGGTAGCCGTTGGCAGCCACCGCAGCATGGTTGTGGAACTGGCGTCCGTCCTGGAGGGGCGCGCCGGGAGGAGGCATGAAGCCGCCAGAGTGAGGAGGGGCGGGAGACGATGAGTTGGAACCAAATCCGCCGAACTGCACTAGGCTGCCGTTGCTTGGGCGCGGGCCATGCATGTGCGGGGGGCCGTTGTGGACAGATCGAGGGCCTCGGTGAGAAGTGCCATTGAGGACGACTGGCGCAGGGCGAGCTCCGTTGGGCGCGCCGGGAGGCATGTTGTAGCGCGAAGGAGAGATGACAGGAGGGGGTCGGAAAGTCGGAGGAAGCTGGTGTTTCTCTGCAAGGTGTGAGTAATTTGTTTGCTGCCCCAAAAGACCTTGCCTTGAATTCTCACCCAACCAAGCAGACTGACCAGAGGCCGGCGAAGCTGCCGGGTGGTCGTCCGCAAAGTGTGAGAGAGATTCCTGGCATGCGTAGCGGCCAGCAAGCAACATACCTGGCGCAGATTCCATGACAGTCGGGGGCGCGTCTCGTTCGGAGGGCTTGTCGGTCGCTTCGGACACTTCGGGGGCGGTGGCAGCAGGGGCAGTGATCGAAGTCTGTTGAGTACCTGGTAGACAATTATTAGCATCCACCTTGAGAGTTGTAGCTTGAGCGAAGTTTACACATACCGTCGCGATCCTTTACTGCATGTTCTTCAGCAGGCTTCTCGTCGTTGTCGTCCTCGGCGGCGGCGTCGTTATCGTCGTTGTCCGTCTTCTCGGCGATGGCAGGCTCGAGGGTTTTTGGGGTCGGTGGCGCAGAGTCGTCGACGTCGTTCTGAATTTTCAAAGAAGAACCGTTGGTGGTGGCGGCGGGCCGAGGAAGGGATACAACTGGGACGGAGGCGGCGTGGGCTTGGGCGGCGGCATGCTTTGCAGCAGCATTGGCCTTGAGGCGGCGCTCGTAGGTGAGGGGAATTGCAGGCACGACGCGACGGAGAGGCTTGCCGTTGGCGACGACACCGACACCGACTCCGTTCCTCGCCTTCGTGTTGACGTTGGGAGCCATGGTTGACGAGAAGGCGGAGGTGGTGGTGGTGTTGAGAAAGCGGCGTTGGGAGCCCACGTCCAAGTCGCAGAAGTGGTGACTGGATCCTTTTTTTTCTTGGGCAGGTGCGACTGGGGGGGCTAGTGCTAGGACGAGGGCGGACGACAAGGACGACAGAGCAGCAGCCGGGGGGTGGGTGCGTCAGGTCGGTCCACGAGCGTTGTCGGCGATAGCAGCAGCACCTCAGACCTCAGATGAATTGCAGCTGATATCTACCGGTGGACACTCAGCAGGTGGGTATTTCTAGAAGAAGGACCGCAACGTCGGCTGATGCTGGCGAGAGAAGCAAGGTAGTAGAACACCCGGTGCAGTGAAGTCGCAAAGCGCAAGTTGTAGGTCCGGGCCTCAGTCGGGGCAACCAAGCTACCTCAGCTTTAGTGCAGGTATCTGCAGTGAGGTAGTGTGTGTAGGCAGCTTAGTGTAAGGTCGTGACTCTTCTCGTGCAGAAGGGCCTATGTACAGCAGGGGATGCGCATGTTAGGAAGACGATCACGTGGGTGCCAATGCGCGCTGTTGGTAGCCTGGACGATGCAAGATGCAAAGCAGAAAAAGGAGAGACGAACGAACGCCCTCGAGGGAAAGGGGTAAAGGGGGAGAGGGTGGCAGGTGACGATGCTGCTGCGAGGTGACCGGTGATGGAGATGCGTCTGTAAGGTACCTCGCCTGGCGACGTGGACTGCGTAAAGGAGAGGTCGCAGAGGAGGGGAAAGTTCAAGAAGTGGAGAGAAGAAAAGGTACAGGGTCCCAGACGTGGATGTGGACGTGGACGTGGACGTGGACGTGGACGCGGTGAAGGGAGAACTGGAGATGGAGATGGAGATGGAAATGGAGATGGAAGCGACGGGGGAGGCAATTATGTCACAGGCACGCACCTGCCTGTCTTCCGTTGTCTGTTTGATTGCTTCTGATGACTCTGATGCAATAGTTTAGGGAAGGCAAGGTCCTAAGGTAGGCAACTGTTCCGGCCGCCAACCGTTTTCTCCTTTCCCACACTGGCAGAAGATGCAGGTGCTTCTTGCTTCTTGCTCCTTCCACCCGGACTTGGGCACTTGCTCCCTATTGCTCCTGCTCTCACGAAGAAAAAAAAAAAAAAAGTTGGGACAATCCGATGATGACAAAAAACCGGGGCTGCGTCACAAATTTTACCCCCGCAAAAAAAGAAAGAAAGGACGGTGCGCGGTGCGCTGCGCTGCTCTGTGCCGGTACGTACCCGACGAAGCTTGCCAATCCTGGCATCTCATTGGGCCAAGTCAGGCAAAGAAAGAGGGGAGCTCGCTCCATTCCTCCCCGTTACGCCGGTACGTACTGCCCAGCTCCGTGTCGGCGGGCAGGCCAGAATGTCGACCCTGCTCCTGCTCTGGGCACTTTCTGTGGCCTGATGCTATGGGCATCAACGGGCAATTGCATCGCTGCCTCTCCTATTCGACCCCTTTCTCACCTGACCAAATTTCGTAACTCAATACGTTAGGTAGAATTAGAGCATCACATCAGGACATGACCGTTTGCTTGTTTATCCCTCTGTCGATGACGGAACAAACAACACTCCCGCCGCAGGTCCCGGCCTTGCATTGTTGGTGCGGCGTAGCTAAAGTCCCTCTAGCGGTATTCCAGCGCAATTCACAGACCGCAAAGGCGACAAAAATAAACCACCATCGTGCCAGCCACAGGGCAGCCGGTACGCTACGGACAAGCTACTTTTTGGCTCGCGACCAGGGGAGCCTTCGACTGCTCGCTTCCAATGCCGGATTACATCAGCAGTGTTTTTAATGGGGACCTCCAGGAATCACTAGGACCGAGACATCACCTCGCTTATCTAATTCATTCGCCGATTGACCCCCGTTCCTTCGGCCCGTTCCATCTCAACCCGGATCCGGTAGTGGGGCCGCGTGTCGGCGGAAGCATGACGTGATGCTCGGCCTCTATGTTGTTGTTGCGCACATCACGAAGACTTAGCGGCCAGCAAGCGACACGCCTGATGCAAGAAATTTTTGGGGCTTCAACAGAAGTTAAATTACTACGTAAAAAAGAGTAATAAGATATCTATTAAGTTACTCCTGCTGCTTCGCAAAATGTCAGCATTGGACTGACGGGCTCTGCCATCGTGATTTCTCCCTCGTGCTTGTCTGGCCATCTAAGGTCGAATTGTCCCTACATACATGTCCTATTGTCAGCTGGTCTTCATGGTGCAGAACTTACCTTGAGGGTGGTGGCTTTCAAACTCTAATCCTGCGGTGAATAGGGCTACCTCCAGTAGCAACAAAAACATGTTGAAAAGCCTTCGCAGTGCCCTTGAGGCTCATTTTGGTTCATCAAATCAATCAACATCGTCAACCCACTGTCGCAACCACCAAAATGTCCTCGTAAGTGTTCCATCTTTATGTCCTTCCTCTCCGATCCCAATCCTCTCTTGCAGTGGCAATCACTGCTATCACTGCATTTGCATGTGGTCAGCTTCAGTTATCTCGAGCGCAAATTCTCTAATCACTATGAATTGCCCTCATGGCCGCTACCTAGCGCGTCATTCCCGTCTCTGTCTCCGTCGCTCGCCGTCTCTGTCCCCATCTCTGTTCCCGTCGCTGTCTTACTTCACTCTTGCTATTCCTTGTCTCTGCTAACGTCAAGCATTAGAGAAACTAACTACCGGCTGCCTCGCAGCCATAACTCTCCCGTAGCCAACCAAGCCGCGCATGCGGCCACAGCCGCTGCCACCGTTCCCATTCCAACAGCGGGACAAGCCCAGGACCAAGCGCTCCTCACACAGTCGGAATCCCGTCCCGGGAACAATCAGCTCGTGTGGTCTCTCTCCAGCAGTGTCGCAAAGCGAACGTGGCTAACGATCATTGCTGGGCAGCAATCTGCCTCTACCCCAAATGACTGGGGAGGTGGGTAGAAAACTAAATTTTGGACTTGGACTGGTAGGTTCATGGTTTTGGAAGCCGCGACCGTATGTGATGTTAGCATTGAAGATTGGTAGGTGCCACGTGGGCCTCTACGATGAAATGAGCCCGGCTGGTTTCACCGCGCTCAGTTTAATGGGCGTTGGATGGGTCGTTATACTGAAGATGCATGACTTGGTTTGAGCATCGATAAAACTTAGTACGCAATTCAATCACCAATAGCAGATATCCAAGCGACCGACAGTGGGCGTCATCGAACTCGCTGCGATGTTGACAGAGATTGTGTTAGTCGAGTTCAACTCCTGAGGACATTCAAGGAGAATTGGTCTACGAGCCCGGCAGCCTTATGGTCGTCTGTTTCCATGATAATTTGACGTTCTCCCTCCTATCACCTACTGATTGGGCATTGTGTGCCGCTCGTGAGAGTCGATCCAACCCAAATTGGCTTTCCGAAAGTCATCGGTGTGGGGCTTTCGACTGCTTGGCTACATGAAGTCCACACGCCATTGTCAGCATACCGCTAATATTGTGAAGATCTATTGCCTTAGAGACTCGCAGCCTGGTGTGTTGGCAAAAGTTCCGCATTGTAGGATGGTCTCTGGCATATGCTGTAAAGCTGCATGCCGCCTCGAAGTCTCCGTTCTATGAGATCATGGCCAACGCCGCAGTCCCCGAGATATCGGAAGGACTCTTTTCATGCGTTTTCTGAAAATTTGATTCGTGCGACCCATCGTGAGATGACAACTTTTCGACTGGATGGGGTCTCCCGCCTCTGATACCAAGGACTGCCCGCATTCATGGACCCCGTCCTCCCGAACTGTGCAGACTTGCACGCGTGACTGAATCAGGCTGAGAAGTTAGTTCCACATGTTCATAAAGACTTACTTACATTCGGTCCCGTTTCACGCAGGGTCGCAGTCGCCTGCTCCCTTGTCCAAACTTGTCTCCTGACTTACCACAATGCAACTGTGCAAGCTTCTCAGCGTCCTCAGCCTGGCCATCGGAATAGCCAGCCAGACTACAACATGCTACTGGCCTAACGGTATAGCCACCACCGTACCGAAGCCATGTCCTACACCTCAAGGCAAAGCAGCGGCGGCCTGCTGCTATGACGACCATTATTGCCTGACGAACGGCCTTTGCGTGGACCCAAGCGATGACACACTGTACCGTGGTGCTTGTACCGACCCTAAGTTTGACGCTGACGGGTGCCCCAAATACTGCGACAGATCTGAGATTATCGGCGCAGGTATGGCAGGCCGTTATTGCAATGATATCTGGATTTTAGCTAACCCATGAATGCCACAGATCCTGCTACACACAATGGTCTTTGGGGTTGCGGCTTCACCGCGGTTTACGCATGTAACCACCCAAGTTTCTGCCTTCAGGCAAACTTTACAATCGAGCAGCCTGGCAAAATTATGTTGAACACTGCCGTCGACGGATCTCGGAATCACAGCAACAGCCACGAGCTCTAGTACTCCATCGTCATCAGCGCGAACCGAACAAAGTAATGGAATCTCTGCGGGTGCTGCAGCTGGCATTGGGGTTGGGGTCGGCGTGCCTCTCGCTATCGCCGTCGTAGTTCTCAGCTTCTTGCTCATGCGGGAGAGGAAGAAGGTCAAAGCCGCCGAGGCTGCAACCCCGATGGGGGCGTTTCCAAGTCCTGATCCCAAGTACGGGCCACCGCCGCCCTGGGCTCCAGGACAGCACGGTTCCGCCGTCTCCCCTGAGCTGCCTACAGCGGCTCATCAGGCGAGACATGAGCTCCCTCAATGATGTAGTGGGGCAAGGTATAGAGTTGGAACAAAAAGCAAAAGTTGAGAACGCTTGCGGGAGATCACCCTTTCCTTTCTTACAACCGAAAAAATTGGAAGGCTTGATTAGTTTCCTTGCTGTGTCATCTGGCCCGAGTTGTGACATTCACTTCTACCTTTTCCATTATTCCTCTTTGTCGTCGTTACCTCTAGTTTCTGTCGTTCCCTATGCTTTCTGTCATCTTCCTTCGTGGCTGTAGACATGGTTCGTGTTGTCGATAGGTGTCGAACTATTCCTTCCCAGCGATGAATCCACTCCCGAGGTGAAATACGAAAGACTTCAGTCCATGGCACTAGGCCATGGCTTGTGCATCGCTTTTTCTTGTTTCTGAATAATAATTTGATTGATACTTCACAAGTACTACTGCATCTTTTCATAGACAATATCCCCTTAAGTATACATCATCTCGATCGACTTAGGGATGCCTCATTTGACCTTGTGAGCATCGACAGATTTACCATTGTGTCTGTTTCTTCGGATTCAAACGGCCTGTTAATTCTTTTATGGCCACGGCCACCAACCCTCAAGCGGCAAGTCGTCATAGATGGCATTGAAATTGTTGTTCTGATCGTTCCGACGGTAGTGGTAAATGAGTTGGCCGTTGGTGTTCCAGGCATCAGCTTTTTGAATTTGGTTTTGTTCCAAATCATTTATCTTGAATCTTGCTAGAGCGCTTTGCTCGTTCGCAGCAACTTCAAATTTCGCTGTCCAGGAAACTGGTGTATGGCTGTCGGAGAGATAGTACGTGCGTGAAAGGTTCCGCCCATACTGTAACAATTCGGGGTCGTTAACTTTCCTGTCAAAGTGCGAAGCCTCTGAGTGAACGTTTTTGGGGGACCAATGAAATCCGCCCTTCATCAGACCGACGATATTCCCGGTTTTCACGACGAGCCTGGCTATCCAAGTTGCATTTTCGCCGCTCGCAAGAACAGGGTCACTGGCAAAAACGATGGCCAGCCCCACGGGGATGGATTTCCAGCTCTTTGAGTTGAAGGGCTGATGGGCCACGTGTACGACTTTCAGTAATCCATCTGCCTCTGCCTCATCTAGCAGCTGTTCATATGTATCGTCGTCCATTGATCAGAAGGCAAGTGTAAGTCAGAAACGGTACGAAAGATTCCTTATTGTAAGGTGACGCTGTATTGTGCCAGACATGGGTCGTCCGAGAGGAGAAGGGAGACCCGACGGTTGATAAGTTACAAAAAGCAGAAACCTACTTATATATCCTACTACTGACACCCTATAGAGACTTCCCGCAAAGTAAACCTAGATTCGTTGGACGGGCATCATCTTGATAAGATGGCATGTGAAATGTGCGAAATCACAGGCAGGGGAAGATTTGCTGCTGGAAACCTTACCGAATTAAGTTCACCCTCAAACGCCGTAGAAATCTGACTGGAGCGACAGAATGGCAACAAGCGTATGGACTGAGTTTCGGCTCATCTCTCTTGAGAAGTACTGCCACTACTTCGCTGGGGACCCAATCGTTCGCGCGGGGGACGACTGTTAGTCAAGAGTTCTGCTAACCGGGCAGTGTCCATACACACGTGTGTAATCAATGTATCTTACTAGACCCCCTACATTTCCTTAGTATAGCTCATCTAGTCGCTTACGTCGTCGTTGTCGTTATCGTCGTCGTCGTCGTCGTTGTTATCGTCGTCGTCCATCGTCGGAGTTCAGCTTCGCTCGCTATCCCTATGGTTTCTTCTACTACTTTCGTCCTTTTAGAACTATTAAGTACCCCACTGGTCGAGATGTAGGGGACACTGTCCAGCTAGTAAAGCTGCTGGTAAAATTTCGCCGGTATTCTAACTTATATAGTTGACAAATCAAATCTGTAAGCTTGACTGTAGCCCTCCGTACTTTATACAAATCATCCTAGATCCACAGTGTTCCTTGTGGGTGTTCACTGAAGACGTCGGTATCAGACGAAATATTAACAGCATTGAAGCAGGTTGTCGCTTCAGATATAAACCAAAGAGCATGTTAGGACTCTCGTTACATCAGTCTCAATAAAGGTGTCAAAAAGCCATGTTCTAGATGCACACGATTGTAGTAATTTCCGGTTATTAGAAAATGTTTTTGGTAGGATGGGCAGTCCGGGGAAAGCTGCTGATAATACGCGTTCTATGGCAATTAGAGACCCGAAGGCGTATCAGGCTTGGATGGGAGGCTATGCTGTAGCTTGATGGGCTTACCTGCGGCTGATAGGTAGATAAGGTGAGCAGGCTGGGAGTGCAGCCAGTGAGTTCTGCAGCACCCCTCAAAAAGTGGGATTCTAGATTTTGACACTACGGGTGGTTTCTCTCTCTGAATTTACGCCATCTCCGGTACCCCTTTCTCGAGAAATCAAAATCTTCCCTTATAAGGCCACTGAAATTCAATTGCTTGGCCCATAATGTCGTATCAACACACTCAACTGAGTGGCCCTCGACGAGCACGGCTCCTAGTTCTCCACCCCGCCCATAAAGCCAGTGAAGCTCTGGCCGGCTCACTGATTGAATGTGGCATTCAGATATCTCGACAGTCCGTGATAGAAGCTTCACATCACTTTGAAGCCTTGTCGTACGTATGGGGCCCACCGAGCGCGTCACATTATCTCCAGCTCGGGGCGTTGATCTTGCCCATCACCGCCAACTGCGATGCGGCACTAAGGCATCTGAGGAGAGCCTCCGAGGACCGTATCCTATGGGTTGATAGCATTTGCATCGATCAGACTCCTGGTGGAGTCCAGGAGCGCAATGCTCAGGTTGCAATGATGGGCGATATCTACCAAGTCGCTAAAGACGTTCTTGTTTGGTTAGGCAATGGCGACGCTAAAACAGATGCATTCTTTCTTCATCTAAAACGTTTATATCTGCTGCGAGACGATTCTTGGGAAGACTTTCGAACCGAGTTTTGTACCAAGTTCATGAATCATTGTGGTCAGTTCAAGTTGATTTCTTGCCCCATGATTCGTTTTATCCTCTGCATTCCAGAAGAATGCACGCTAATATTACTTCAGATACAAGATGGGGGACATCAAATGCTCAAACGGTTGGCGAGATAATCGAGGACGTTCTTGGACGGCCCTGGTTCGAGAGAATGTGGACTCTTCAAGAGCTTCTTCTTGCCACCCATGCTACCATCCTTTGCGGGGAACAGGTAATTGCCTGGGATATCTTCTGCCAAGCTTTGGAGCTCATGGAGGCTACCTTCTCCCTGTCTAGCAAGGGGGTGCGGAATTTTGTGAATTGCTTCTACGCATATTCGGATTTTCAAGATATTTCTGGCAGCACCAGCGGCCAAACAGTCCAAAGGAGCCAGTCCGAGCTAGCTAGGGGAGATGAGGAGGGGAAATTGTCGAGCCTTGTACAACATGCCAGAATTCGGCATGCCACCAACCCAAAAGACAAGATCTTCGGGCTCTACGGCATTTCCCAGAGACTCGGACAGCCATTCCCAAGTCCCGATTATACACAATCAGTGGCCAAGATATACACGGAAGCGACGAAGGCTATCATACGGCACGAGAACACCCTATGGCCGCTGGATAATGTGTGGAGTGGGAACCGCCAGAGTGGTCTGCCGTCCTGGGTTCCTGACTGGAGCTACGACTATAGATGGTTCGACGATGTTCTGATCGAGCTAGGAGGCGTTCCCCTGGACTCTGCAGACCGAGAGACTACAACTCACTGGGAAGGGCCGGTGGATGGACAGAGCTACGAAATCAAGTTCACTGGTGACGACGGCATTGTTCTGCAAGGCCAAACACTTGGTGTGATCGAGACGGTTTTTGACGACCGCGACAGAGCGCTTATTGAAAAGGACATCTTGGCTGCGCAGCGGCTATCCGTTGAATACGAACTCACACTAAAGCGGCATGGCGCAGAACGGATCAGGTTCTTCAGGCGCATCTACGCCGAATGCGACAATGCTGAGCATGCCGAAGCCTGTCTTCTAGCATTCTGTTGGTTATTGCTGACTTACAGCCCGAACCAACCCAAGGAGGGCTTCAAAAGAGGGTTCAAGGACCTGCATACTCTCTTCAAATCCACACTCCCAGGTTGCGAGGAGAACCGTCGGTATATCTTCTCCCAAGCCAGGGAAAAGCTTCAGAAGGCACTCAAAGAGCATCAAAGACACCCCAAAGTGCTCGCTTTCGTCGACTCGGACATTGACGCAGCAATAGATGTGGTGTTGTCCCTACATCAAGGCCCAGAGTACATCATCCGTTCGACGCCTGAAGATGCGAGGCCGGGGTCGGTCTTCCGTCTGCTGGGTTCTGCGACAGGATTTTACAGAACAATTCAAGGGCTTTCTATAAATAAGGCAGTCTTCATTGCGGACTCCGACATTATAGGCTACGCCCAGGGGCGTGTTTGCGTGGGAGACAGTGTTGTCAAGTTCTATCAGGCCTCGTCCCCTTCGGTCTTGCATCCTTGCGGACCGCACTATCAGCTTCACTCTCCGGCGGTCGTAAAGACGGAAGGTGCTCTCAGTGACCTTCTGGACAGCGCTGCATCAACAACTTACAAGATCCGATGACCCTTTCGATAGGAAGGATGACGAGGAAGACGACGAGACCGACGAGGAGGACGAGAGTAACGATGAAAAAACGGAGGATGAGGATAGTAACGAAAAATGAAGTAAGAAAGCCACAGAGAGAGTAGTGAGATAGAAGGCTACACAGTGACGATCAGGATATTGAAGGTTTTCGCCCAGCTGACGTGAGGTATCAGATCGGATGGCAGTGACCAACTAGGCATCACAAGCTGGGAAGGTATCTCCAGCGTTCGGTAGCGACAGGATTGATTATTCAGAATTCGGTCTCTATTATCCGGACTACACGTCCTGCTTCGGGCCAAGCAGTCGTCCCCAAGGGGTATCATATCATTACCATTACCGACCTCAGACAGAGGCGCCGTCGTCAAACGCCTTCTCCTTCTCGCTTGGCTTAGTCTTGACACTGCCAGCGGTCCACTGGCGCATCTTCTTGCCCCAGAAGTACAGGACTGGCAGACCCAAGGATAATACGATGATGGTCTCCGCGTAGAGGGCAAAGGTTTGAATGGGTCCCTTTTCCGCGATCCAGATCGTGGCTTTTGAGGCGAGGAAGAAGGCGATGACGATGCGCAGGGATGAAACGTTGACGAGCACCGGCCTGTTAGACATTAGCAAAGATTCTCAGAGGTGTACCACAATCATGACTTACCCTGCCCACTGTGGGTAGCTTTCTACAATGAAAACGCTGAGGATGGTCATGGTCATCAGGAACGAAAAGACGATCAAGAACGAGCCCACGAGAAGAACACTCCAGTGGAAGTTCCTCTCGCCCGCGGTTCCGAAGATGAAGCATCCCGCCACACCAGTGACAAGCGGCAAAACAAGGTTGGCGAGGTGATGCTCCGGCTCACGACTACCACCATTCCACCTCGTCACCGCGTTGGACATCTTGTCAGCCACCGGGCCTCCAAAGACATACACCAACGCCGAGGCCAAGAAGAAGGGTAGCACGGTCAAACCAGTCCACTGGAACTCCCAGCCCTGGGCAAGCAGCGCGAACGGCGTGATCTGTTGCGCAGCCTGGTTGTTGACGATCATAATGCTGTTGGCGAGGACAGCCCAGATGATCGCGGGGAAGTAGGTGGAGCGGAGGGCGTCGAACATGGACTTTGCGGCGCGCTTGAACTCGAAGCCGTTCTGGAAGACGCCGATGTTGGTCCAGGTCGTGCGCGGGGTGAAGGTCGTGAAGTCGAGCTCGGGGCGGTTTTGACCCGGGGGAAGCGGGTAGATCTTCTGGCCGCCTAGACATAGTTAGCATTTAGTAAGCACCAATGGGAAATCCAACGTACTGAGCTCCGCCTGAGATCTGGTCCACCTAGTTTCGGGTAGGAAGGCGATGAGAAGAGCCCACGCCAGGATGCCCAAGCCAGAGGTGATGTAGTACATCCACCTCCAGGTATAGTTAGCAGACACCCAAGGGGCCGCAACTCCCAACCCGATGATGATGATACCCTGGCTAGAGACAACGGCCGACATGGCCTTGTTCCTCTGGTGGATAAAGACCATATCCTGAACAATAAGGGGGATCAACGCCTCCACGGCGCCAGCTCCAAGACCCATCAGCGCTCTCGCAAGCAGATGCTGGTGCAGACTGGTGCTGAACGCGGCAAACAGACCACCAGCCCAGGCAGAGGTAGCGGCGAACAGGAGAACGGGTCGGCGACCGATCCAGATGGATGTCGGCACGAGGAAGTAACTCGCGATACCGTTCGCCAGTAGGGGCATGGTGGCCAGCAGCGAGACCTCTTCGAGAGAGGCGGGCTTGACGCCGGCCGGGACAACGGACATGGGGTTGATGTTGAGGCCGCTGCCACCGCTTGCCTTCTTGAAGTCGAAGGTGTTGATGACATGGGGATCGACGCCGGAGTATTCGAGGATGAAGATGGGGAGGAGACCACCGATGACAACCTCTGCTGAGAGGGCAAGGGCACCGACTTGGGATGGTAAGTAGGCTGTTCTGTATCTGATTGTCCAAGACTTACAAAAGCACAGACAACCGATGGCTGTCCACTTGCGCCAAGCAGGAAGGTTCAATGGATCTACAACGATTAGTTGTCTTTGACATTCGACGAAGACTGGAGGTTCTCACCCTTGGGATCGGGCGTTGGCATCTTAGAGGGAGTTAGCCACGATTCGACGGAGAACAACACGCAGCACTCACAGGAATCAACCTCAACTGCCCATTCTCATAGAGATTTGTCGTACCGACGACCAGCGTCTCGTTCTTCTCCAACACACTATCCGCATCATCAAACTCCGACACACCGACGGTCGACGTCTGCTTCCGAGCGGCCTGCTCTTCCTGGAGCGGCCAGTTCGTGTTCGACGCCATATTGTCCGTTTGTACCGTCGATGGAGAGAAGTCGCGCAATCCCAGCCCTCCAAAAGAAGAAGAGAAGGACCCTCCCTTCTGAGATCGTGGGAAGTCGGCGGGACGCTAACGCAGCCTTATACCATTCAACGCGCCGCCGCCGCCCCCTGCAGCAGATCCGGAAAAGCCTAAGAAGATTGGACACATACAGGGGAAGGGGAGAAAAGGGAAGAGGCGAGACGGAGGCAGGCAGCCGTGCGTATCATTTGCCCAGGGCCAAAGGCGATGTTGTCGAATCGGAGGCGTGCCCCCGAGTGGTCTAGGTACCTTGGAAACGTCCCATCAGGCGAACCGTCAATCTCAGGAACAGCCGCGAGGACGACGATTAGGCTACATGCGCCTGGTCGGCGAAAGTACCACGATGTCTTCTCCTTGCTTCTTCGACGTCTGTTCCCGGTGGAGTTTGCCCAGCCCTCCACATCCCGCCCGGCACCAGCTCGAAACCCATCCTCGATGATCCCCAGCACATAACGGTTCTTCACCTGCGTGGGATGTCAGTCTCCTCCAGCCTGCCCCCGGCTCAGCCAGCGACCGTGACATGTTTCTGCTTGACAAACGTTCGTCGCCGCGAGACGAGACCAGGAACCGGGGTGTTTAAGCTTCGTCTGCTCGAGCGCAAGGGGGTGGGCCGTTGTGCTGCATTCGGCAGTTGGACGCTACGCCCTGCAAGAGGGTTGGACGGGCCGGGGAGATAGGACGATTTCTTGGGTCTTCTTGCATCCCTACCCTCCTCCTCTTTTTTTCCCACCTCATGATGAGGGTTTTGTTACAGGGTAGAACATTGTCGTTTCGCAGAGATTGTTGATGCGTTCTGTAGGGTTCGGGACGCTTTTGCGGCAGCGGGGGAGGCTAAGTCAAAGTGATGGAGAATCCTTTGTGAGGGAGACAAGTCTGGGGTGGGAATGTTGTTGGTTTGATCGCCGTTCGCGCGCGCAAGAGACCCTTGCTTAGTCGTCATTCGATGTCTTGAAAGTGCCCCCTTTTCCAAAGGAAACTATTCGAAATTCAATCACTACTTTGTACATACTTGGTACTTGGTATGCCCTACGTATGGGGCCGTATGTAAGGTACGCAATGGATGTGTGTCCCTTGCATCGACCCGCTGCAGGATCTGGGTCAATCTAGAGAGCCCTCCTAGCGGCGCGCCGAATTTAGAATAGAACACAAACCTAATAGAGACCTCTTGTCCAACGGTCGATGACCTACAATCACCGACAGAGTTGGCATCTGCTTCCCCGGAAGACGGGATAAGTTTCTTCAGGTGTCAGAGCTCCGGGCGTTGGATTTCGTAAACAACCGCGCGCTACATCACAGCAGTCCAAATCCCATTGCACGGCACCGCTAGACTTCAGACCAAGTTTCTTTCTTGATGAAATGCGGTTGAGACGAAAAGAACGTTGCACCCAGCCACGAGACAATGGTTGGAGCAATCAGTTGGATGACACTGTCGAGGGGGGCCCCAGAACACCTTGACTCGCCGCATGAACATGGCACCACACCCTGTTACAGAACCCCCCGGTCCGAGTGCCTCATCGTAAACACAAGCGTGTTCTCGACCACGAGTTTCTTCTTCTACGATGCCTACGCACGGACAACGCTGCAACGACGTGGGCTAGCTGTTACGCATTTCATCTGCTGCATAGTCGAGTATGCAGAGAGGACAAAAGTATGAATGCTTTACGCAATATCAGCCGCACTATTCCAACCCGCCAAGAGGCTATCAGGGTTACATGCGATGTGCTTGTTGGACAGTGGATGTGCCAATGGTCTTCGTCAGCCGGCGATCACTTTCAACTCATCTCTACATACCTCTGGCTTTTCATCCCACATCCGCCGTCTGGTGTTTCTCCTGCTCTGCCATGACTTCATGCCGGTGAATATCACTTACCAGAAAGCCAGTCTTCTCCTCACATTTCTTGGGCAGTGAGTTTCCCTGCCAACATTTGCCAAGGCCACTGAACAGCCGACACCCTTCATGATCATCGCCAGCCGGCGCTCAGTATGTCGTGTCTGATGTTTCCTTCGGATGATACCTGGCCGTCGGCTCATCCGTTCTGTGCCCGGCGTCCACTTTCCGGCACTTTTCGGCGAACGTGGAGGTCTGGAGCTTTGAGAGATACATGCTGGGGCACGATTTGATCGTCCATTGTGTCGTGCGTGAATGACTGGACCTAGTTTCGCCTTTATCTCTAATTATAAATAAACAACATAAGGAATATTGGCACTGTCGAGATACGACGGCAAAGCTTTGTAGAAATGTAACGTCGAACCAACATCGCATTTGAGTTACTCTCTTATTAAGCGGCTTTTCTCGCTTCGATACTTGTCTGGTCGTGCAGAAGAAAGCCATGGCAGATGAGAAGAATGTTGTCGGCGCAGATCAGACGCCACTTGACAGAGCCCATGCAGCTAACGAGCCATCATGCCACACGGCTAGTATCACCACGAAAGTCATTTCAAGAGTGAGTGTTGCATTTGATATTCCCAGGAGGTATTTCCACTGTCGAATCTAGAATACATTCGTCATACGCGTTTTGCCAACCCATTCAACCGTCTCAGTCCTCTATTAGTAAGACTCTTTGTGTTTGTGTGTATCACTCTGGTCCGTCACCGGTGTCCATCGCCGGTGTCGTCGTCGGTGTCCGTCGCCGGAAAAAGCCCAAAAACGCCATGCTCAGCCGTGTCATTCCATGCGCACTGTATTTATTATCCATCGGCGACGTCAGGCCGACCCTGCTTGATTTTCTGTGTTGAACGATGCGAAGCCATCTAGTACTCAGCTATCGCTACCCAGCACTCGGGCCAGGAGGACGTAGAAGAAAATGAGACCGCCGGCGACGAGGAGCTTATTTTGGTTGAGCCAGCCGCGGCCGGCGTCACGCTGCTGGACGACGGCATCGACGACAGCCTGGGCCTGGTGGCCGCTGCCAGCTCCAATGCCGAGCTGGGGCCCGCACGAGGCCCCTGCTGGGCCGCCGATCTTGTTCCCTGTCGCGAAGTCGATCTTATTCTCCTTCATCCAGTCCCAGTTCGCCTTGTCGACTTCAGGCCATTCGCCGCGGAATTTAGCGCCGCCATCGCCGGCCTTGACGTTGCCTTTTTGTGTATTGGACTTGGTGTGGGAACCACCGCCGGTAGAGTTCCACCATTTTGTACGCAACGCCAGCATCTTGCGTTCAGCCTCAGTGCTCGAAACGGAACCCGTAGTCATCTCTTCGCTCGTCATGAAAGAAAGCAGGCCGATAAGGATGGTGGAGACTTCCCACGCGGGGTTGAAGGATTTGGGATGGAAGTCGGAGATGGAGAGGCAAAGTCGTGTGGATGGTTGGAATCGGCCGGATGGGGTGTGCATTCGGATCGCTGGGGGCGCGAAGGGGTAGTTTGGAGGGAACACGAGAGTTCCCCAGTACTGGCCGCCATGGTACGGTGTGTTCTCAGGGCCGGTGATGATGTAGTGCCACCTAGTAGCCGGTCAGCAGGAGTCTGTGAGACTGGCATGAAAGAGCATACTCAAGGATATTTGAGTCGGAGGGATGGGCCTCGATGTATGGCGGAGGGTTCTCGGAGATGGTCTTGTACTCGCGCGTCAACTGCAGGGCGGCTGTCAGTGCTGCAACAATGTGGTGAGGGGAGTGAAAGGGAAGGCATACACGCTTCTGTGCGGCTCTGCTGGCTGCCATGGCTAAAGGATGTGCGCAATGGAATCCTAGTGATCCGGTTTGGGGGCGAGCGAGAGGACTATCGAGATGAAGATGACGGACCACGACGTAATCAGGGACGGACGCCTCAAAGGCCTGGCGGGCGGTCTCTGGATAGGAAGACCAGCGGGCGAAAAAGAATGTGGGAAAATAAAATGTACAGACTGAAGAATAGAAGAGAAGTTGAGTAGCCGCGCAGCTGAGCCTGTGGGAGAGGTCTGCTGGGCTTTGCGGTTGGGCTGGAGCTGGATGGAAATGGAAGCGGGTGGTTGAAGGACGGAGGATCGGAAACACTCAGCAGCGGACAGTGGACAGTGGACAAGTTGGGGAATGCGGCGAGGCTGTGACAGGCACAGGCGCATGCGGTACGTACCTACCTTGGCTGCACCTGTGTAAGCAGCGGAATTTCAAGGTTTCCATGGCGGAGAAGCGGCGCGGTGACTTCGGCCTCCAGCTGGCAACGCCCCACTCATTATGTCACCGCGCAGTGTGCACGCGAGTGCCTCAGCCACAGAATTTCCACCAACAGCCTGGGTCCAAGCGTCTACCTGTGTGGCTGAGAGACGTGGCTTGAGCTCCAAGGTGTGGCGCGACCTCTGCGACCCGCCACAAGCCACATGAGCCAATCAGACAGCCCCCTGTCGCGTGTTCCCGGCCCGCGTTCACAGTTGGTGCAGGTCCAGTCCCTTCCAGGTCCTTTCAATTGGGCCCGGCGCCCGTGCTCCGCCGTTGCATCTCGAATTTCAACCCGAAGCCTGCCGATTGTCCCTCCAGCCCACCTTACATCGTCACCACAGCCCGCTACGATGGCGTCCAACCCGACCGACAAGCTCAAGGCCGGGCCTGACGCTCTCCGCAAGGAGGCCGAGTCCTCCCCCGCCTTCGAGAATCTGCAGGAGGAGGCCAAGATTAGGAGATTCCAGGCTTTGGCAAGGACTGACCCGGCCCGTTATGCTGCCAATCGCCCGTGCTAATGCGCATCCCAGCTTGCAGAGCAGAACTCCCAGCCCATGACCATCAACCGTCTCCAGGTTCACGGCGCTTCCAACACCCGACGCGGCTTCCTCGACCCCATCTTCGAGCCCCTCCTGACCGCCGAGGCCAACAGCTCCTCGACCCTCGGCGAAGTCGCAGCCCGCCTGGGTGATGCCAAGGGCAAGCTCGAGAGACTGGGCATCTTCCACCCTGATCCCAAAGTTCACATCAACGGATCCGACCCCGCCGACCCTTCCTCCACCCCTACCGACGTCGACGTCGACATTGTTGTCAAGGAGCTCTCCCGATACAAGATCAATGCCGGCACCGATGTAGGAAACAGCGAAGGCTCCGTCTACACCTCCGTGCTCTGGCGCAACATCTTTGGCGGCGCCGAGCAGCTCACTGTCAATGCGAGTGCTGGAAACAAGACTCGGTCCGCTTACAGCGCGAACCTGAGTGCTCCTGTCAACAGCAACCCCGACACCAGGATTTCTCTGGAGGCACTGGCATCTACCACAGACAAGGCATGGGCTGCCCACCAAGAGGCTGTCAAGGGAGGCAACCTCCGCTTCTCCTGGCTTTCTGGCAAGAGTGTGCACTCGCTCGAGTACTCTGGTGTCTGGCGTCAGGTTACTGGCCTTGGTGACAACGCGAGCCCCTCCGTCCGCGCCGACGCCGGCGACTCCGTTAAGAGCTCCATCAAGCATACATACTCGCGCGATGAGAGAGACAATGCGCAACTGCCTCAAAGTGGCTACCTGCTTAAGTCCGTCTTCGAGCTTGCCGGTGTTGGTCCTCTCGCCGGAGACGTTGCCTTCTCCAAGAGCGAGTGCGAGATCGGTGGCGCCGTCCCCATCCCTCTTCCCGGCATCAAGGGCCGTTCCGGTATCTCCATCGGAGGAGGCCTCCGCTTCGGCATGCTCTACCCTCTTCCTCTCGGTTTCGCCTCCGAAGGAAAGGCCCAGCCCAGCCGCATCAACGACAGGTTCCAGCTCGGCGGCCCTACCGACGTCCGCGGGTTCCACTTTGGTGGCCTCGGTCCCCACGATGGCTCGAACGCTGTCGGCGGAGACCTCTTTGCTGCCGGAAGCGTGAACATGCTCTTCCCCCTGCCCTACAAGGGCGCTGACTCTGCTCTTCGCTTCCAGGTCTTCGCCAACAGTGGCAGGCTCGTGGCGTTGAAGAACAAGACCAAGGGCGACGGTGAGAAGAAGGCCGCTGGCCTCAGCACCCGAAGCGTCGCGGGTAGCATGTACAATGCCCTCAACGACCTAACCACGGGCTTGCCGTCGACCGCCGTGGGTGTCGGTCTGGTCTATGCCCATCCTGTTGCTCGATTCGAACTGAACTTCAGCTTGCCTATGGTGCTCCGTAAGGGCGAGCAAGGCACCAAGGGCCTTCAGGTTGGCGTCGGTATCAACTTCTTGTGATGCAAGACGACGAGGGCGGGTGTGGACATGGACGAGGCTATGGCTGACGGGGCGAGAGGGGCTGGTGAAGGACGAATAGAGGAAGAAAAGTAAATACCATAGACACTCTCGAAAATCAATGCTTCAAAGTTCAAAGTTCAAGGATGTTGTCTAATCCTCCATTTTATGTACATATAGAAGCCTTGTCTTCATTGTTTTTCTCGCCAAGTTACTCGGGATTGGCGGCACCAAGTCATGTACTTTACTCATGGCTCCTATCTAGACCTGCCATCATACCGTCCACTACTGCGGAAGCTCATGCCGGACCGTCGGGTCCGGAGGAAGTTCCGTTGTCGGCTGCTGCCCATATCCAGGCTGGGGTGCCTGCACGAAACCTCCTGGGTATTCATGCTTAGCCCATACCGGCGCGGGCGATGGTTGGGAACCTCCGACAGTCGTCGCTCCGTCATTCAACCCCGCGGCTCTCGACTTCTTCTTCTCTCGCAGAAGCAAAATCGTTAGCGCCACAACCGCAATAGCAAGCGGAACTCCCACGCCAACCCCGATTCCTGCTGCAGCTCCTGTTGATATTCCACTGCTGGCCTCCGAAGTCGTAGAGCACACCGCGATGGAGGTACCGCTGGGCCCGGTGCTTGTCGCCGCCGCGATTCCGAGATCGGATTCCAACGCCGTGTTGATCAACATCCTCCCTCTAGGACTCGGCATCGTGAAATTTGCTTTGTCGCAATCATTTCGTCCGCGACATGTCCAGATGGCGTCCTGGTAGCAGTAGTTGACACCGGTATATCCTCGCGGTGCTACATGAGTTAGGCTCAGAATCATCATCATGAACAGGAAACTTACCAGTGTGGCGGCAAATCTTGGGGCATCCGGCCGCTCGAAAGTTCTTGTCTGTGCAGGAGTTCCGGTACATCGTCCACGCGTTCGGTTCGAGACAGAGGCCGTTATCGAGGCAGTAGTGGTTGGACTTGCGACAGCACGCGACCACGGCATTGTCTCCGATTCTGGGGCATTCAATGCCGCCCTGGTCAACCGAGCCATCTGGGAAGTAGCAAGTTTCGCCAGTGGCTGATGCCACCAACGTCAGAAGCGCGACAAGTCTGAGGGCGGACCGGTGCATATTCACAATGAAGAGGGATGGGCCGCTGTGTGATGCTGACGTAGCGAAGTATCGGAAATCGGTTTTTTAAATGCCATGTCGCAAAACCCGGCCACTGCGGTTAGGCTGACTTGCCGACTGTGTCTCACTCTTCGTATTTCATCGACTTATGTGTTGCCCGATTAGGAAATAGGAAGTCGTCAAACTATCTTCAGCTCTTGTACAAGGTTTGAGTCTTGGCCCTGCAGATTTGTCTCACTGGCTCGTCACTTCCAGTGGCAGCAACCACTCATCTCTTAAAATCGAGTTTCCTGCGCCTTGGTTGCTTACATTGAAATTGATTCGCCCCCCGCCAAGCCCGCCGTTGCAGCCCAATGTGGTTTGACAGGTCGATACGATGCATGGATTTCGGCGACGTAGCGCAAAGAACCTCGCATCAATCCTGACCGATATGATGGGTTGGGAAGCGAAACCGTCTTTCAAGCCTCGCCCTTCGTCTTCCCGCCTGTGAAATGGTTTGGAAGCTTGCAACAATATTTGCTGCTCTAGCTCTATTCCCATGCTCGCTTCTCAGGTGCATCCGTCGCTAACTCCTACTATTTCGCCTACAAAAGGCCAGCATCCGTGGTGTTTGCTGGACGTCGGTCAATTACTATGTCCGACCCATTGCGCAACTCAACATTTTCGCATGTCCATAGTTTGATTCGATGAGCATACCTGAGAAGCCAGTTGCGACTCAAGATTAGCGACAAGAATGTTTTCTTTTTCAAGTCAATTGGCTGGTATATTGCGATGCACTATCGCGTACATCCGTCCAAACTCATTATGCGGCATCTGGTAGCTTTAGATTTTACGCGTGCAAGAACCTTGATACATTGTGAATGCACTCGACTTCATGGAAAGGCCATTTGTCAGTCAGTAATTTCCTTTCAAGCCAGAATGCTGTGATGTAAATCTCCTGTAGCCTTCTTCGAGCCTCACTTATTGAGGAAGCTCATGTCTCACGGTGAACTCCAGCGGCAACTCCGCTGTTTGTTGTTCACCCGTTCCAGAGAGATGGCTTTCCCGCCACGGGGCTGGCGAAGTCGTAGCCGACTGGTTTGGTTTGGGAGAAGTGACTTCTGATGTCGAATGTGCTGAAATAAGGTTGACAGCTTTCGTCCTTTTTTTCTGACGTAGAAGCAATATCCCCAGGACTCCAGCGACGATTGCAAGAGGAATTCCTACCCCGGCCCCAATACCAACCGCTGCCCCGACAGATATGCCGCTCTCAGGTACGCCGCTCTCAGGAATGCCGCTTTGGAGGCCAAGTTGCGACTTCTGAGCGCTGTTGGGCATGATGGTTCCCATATTTGAAATTGAGAAATTGCTCGTTTTACACGGGATTTGGATATTACACCTCCATTGATCCAGGCTATATCCACAGTTGTTGACACCGCTAAGGTTGTCAAGAGCTGTTCAAACTTTGTTAGCTGTTGGAATAATGAGCAAGCGCGAATTGTTGACAACTTGGCCACCATGACCATGATTGCTTACTTGAAGCTTCTTGTCCATTGCTACTTGTATTGAAGCAAAACCTCGGGCAACCGGACGCTTGAAACTTGGCATCCGTACAGGAGTGTCGATACAAGGTCCAATAATTAGGCTCGAGGCACAAGCCATTGCTCAAGCAATAGTGACCATACATGCAGCATGCTTTGGCAGCATTGTCTCCCACGACAGGACACGGTATACCGTTAGCAGCGTGTTTTGTGCTCGGAAAATAACATGGTTCGTGGTCTCCACTTAACACTAAAGTGCTAAGCAGAATAGCTGTGAGTGTGAAAACTTCAATCTTTCGTCGCATAATGCCGAGTTTTGAGGAAGAAAGATGAGGAAAGACCAGAGTCGGGTACCACAGGTCAGTGACTCATTTTTATAAGATCATGTACATCCGGCTGACTGGTCTCGGCTGCTTTCGTCTTATGTCTCCTTGCTTTCTAATTGGCAAACTTGTGTTATTATTGCATTCTATGCGCTTTCAAACTCGTGCTAATTTCTTGTCGCCCATATAGACCCTTCCGGCGCTGTCTCAAACTCACGCGCCTGATTCGCACGACGGACGAAAACATGGAAGTGAATGCGCCACTGGGATCCGGGCGAGCTGACGGGCTTAATTAAGACAATATCTGGCCTTTGCAGCCTCACGGGACACGCACGCCCAATTTGACGGCGAGACTCTTGGTTTATCTTGGCTTCATTCCAACTCGCCTCCTGATCCCGTTCTCTCATTCCCCTGACGTAATGACTGCTGCCGAATGCTGATACACTGGCCTCAGATATCATGCGGCGGCTGCTGTTTCTTTTGAGGCTCAGTTGCGGTGGCAAAATCAAGACGTGGCGAGGTGGCTGGACAAACGGTCAGGAGGCTTGAGTCCCGCGCCAAACAGAGGAAATGGTCACACTGGACACGTGCGGTGAAAGTTCAAGTTGACGTCTAGGGAAATTACGATGCCAACACATAGGTATGACAACATTTTGTCGCGAAGATAGTACCGATTACAGGAGTCAAGCAGATACTTTATGAGACGTATCACAACAGCTTATTGACAATATCGCTCACTGACTGAATGATAGGGTACTTCGGGAAGGAGGGCTTGTAAACCTGACATCTTGTTAGGAAAAGATCAGTAAACATCTGTTTTCGGAGAAAACTCACAGTTTGGCAGCGCTGGTTGAACTCGTCTGTAGAACCATCAATGCGGGACAGCTCATCATCGGGGACGCCAAGCTTGACGAGGGCTCCGGACTCGGGTGCAACCTTGTCCCACCCAGGACCGGCAGCGGGGTTCTTGATCCATTCCACAAACCACCCGTGGATGGAGTCAGCCAGTGCCTGTTGGGCCTCGGTGACGTTAGACAGAGCCTCAAAACACTCATTGCCGCCATGGAAGAAGGGGACTTCGGTGCCATGAGTGGGAGCAGTGCCAGGAACTCCGACGATATTGTCATAGGCGCCGAAGAAGCGGTAGACCCAGGTGTTCTGCGCGGCACTGCGGAGGTCCTGGAGGTAGTCTACGGCGCAGTTGAAGCGAGCGTCGCCGTACTGGGCACCACTACGGAGGGACTCGGTTCCATAGGCTGAAGCGTTGTAGGCCTCGATTAGAACGGCATCCTCAATGTGTGCACTGTCCGCGTCGAAGGTGTTGATCCAGGAGCTGAAGTTCGTGTTTTCGGCGCCGTAAACGAGACTGAAGATGGTACCTTCGCCATTGGAGGTCCCAGTCAGGAGCGGCACGTGAGCAGCATACTTGCCAGCGGCAAAGCGAGCAGCATAGTCGGAATGACGGGTGATGTTGTCTATGACAGGAGTGAACCAAGTGTTGAAGGTCGAGTTGAAGTTGGTAGTCTGGAAGGCGTAGACGTCGACATCGCGAAGGCAATCGATCTGGCCGTCGCCGCCAGCAGGGCATCCGACCTCGGTAGCAACGGCGTCAAGGGCCTCGTTGACGGGTGCGTAGGCAGGACCGGACATGGCGTTGGCGCTCATCTGCACAGCTCCCTTGAGCCAAGAGTCCGGGTGGTTCCATAGGTAGTGATCGACCTGGACTGAGCCAGAGGAATGGCCACCGAAGACGATGTGGTCGGGGTTTCCTCCGAATGCTGGTCTGGCGTTAAACTCGTGTCACTTTGATCGGCATTGGCCACTCATGTGAGATCTTAGATGCTTGCTTACCCCGGATATTCTCGTGGATCCAATCAAGGGCTTTCTCGACGTCCAGGATGCTAAAGTTTTGGGACTCTTCAGGGTTGGCATCCTTCAACTCCGCAGAGTGTGGAGAGGCGAAGATGCTCTCGCGAGTGTTGAAGTTGACGTAAACAACTCCATTGCGAGCGAAGTTGGTTCCCTGGATCTGAGGATTGCTGTTGGAGCCGGTCACCATAGCACCGCCGTACATGTAGACAAATACCTGCGCGCATTATCGTTCAGTCTTGAAAACTGGTGACTAAACCTGTGGGTTCTAGATCCAACTTACGGGCAGGTCATTTCCGTTCGGAGGAGACCAGATGTTCAAGTTGAGACAATCCTCACCCTGCTGGCTGAATGTAGTACCGGAGATGGCCTGAGGGCATGTTGGGCCGTATGACGTCGCATCGAAGGTCGCGTTTGACCGCAGAACATTCTGAGGCGCTCTCCATCTTTGAAAGTTTCGTTAGTCCAGCTGAAAGTCGAAAATCGCAATGATCGACATACCTATTCTCCCCACCTGTCGTCGCCGCAAAGGGGATGCCCAAAAACACCGCATTGCGAGAATCATCACGAAAGCCCTTGATCCTTCCCTGAGGAAGAACGACGCTTGTGGGCCTGGTGATGTTGGCACATGCAGCCACCGCCACGTGAGGGAAGACAGAGGCCACCGCCAGGACCAAGCTTGCGCCGGTTGTCAAGACATTGACGAGTCCCATGATGCACTCACTTTGTTGACGACGATCGGTGAGGTGCGTGCGGAAGGTGGGAGGACAACCAGGTAGTCCAAGCTGTTGAGGACGTCCATGCAGTTCATATGAATAACGAGCGATGCTCTTTTCCCTTTTGATGAGACCCCTACGAAGACGGATGTGGGCAGACAGATGGCGATGGTTTGCTGAAGTGGAGAGGGAACCACAGAACGCCAGGGGTTCAACCCCATGTCAACTCCGCCCATAGGGGGCTCTTTGTGCTGACATTTGCGCTATCGAGAACGAAAAGGTCGCCTTCTCCGGAAATCTCATTTAATGTTGGGCTGGGCAGGCTGGGATCAGGGTCGTTTTCTTGAGCTTCATCCGAAGAAAGCCCACGCATCTCACCGGCGAAGCTCCACAGCCGGCTCTGTCGGCGTTAATCCCGCGCGCGGTTCGATGTTGAAGAATTCCAAGATCCTGATTCCCATGTGCAAAACACGTTGGTAGACCTTGTCAACTCCCACGTTGCAGAGCGCCGCTCCCCTGACGCTCTCAACCAGCCAGCCCTAGCGGCTCCAGGCTGTCTCCATCGGCAGAGGGACTTGAGAAATCAATAATGCCGCGAAGCATGCAGAGTCCATGGCCCCATGTTGACTCCCTGTTGGATCCCCTGCCTCGGCGGCGGAACAAGCGGGACCGGCGAACTTCAGCCTACGCTACTGTTGGCACTAATTCTTGAACATCACGAGAATCCTGATATGGTCACTCCACGTCTCTCGGCCTCATTGGATCCGATTGACTGGAACCAATGGTTCATGCGCTGGCGATTTCTGGGACCTGATTGCCCGTCAACATTTGCCAGATGGGCCACGAGGCTCGCAACAGTTGCTTATCCCACAGGCTACGTCGGAATTCCCGCTTCTCGCGCCAAGTCCGGAGGAGATGTGCAGATTTGACAGATATTGTTTCGCCCACGAGGGCAACACCTTGCCTAGCGCTGTGTGGTGCGCCACATCCCTACATGAGGTGATTGACAGGTGCAGAAAATGCACAAGCCATGGATCGTCGCACCATGGCTAAGCTGAATTGAAAATAAGCGTGATGCATAAGGGGGGCCTCTGAACAGCCCCGTGGCCCAGCTACTTGGTCGTGGATCGAGCAATAAGACCTGAGGGGCATCCACCGCCCTTCCTCTTCTGTCTTGTGTGCACAAGTTGACGTGAGGACCGGTCATCTTGCTCGTCATGGCCGAAGGTCTTGGCCAAGTGGTAGGTGCAATTCACGTGTTGGGCATCATTTTTTGAAGCTCAAGTTGCGAGACTTTTCCCGCTCTCTGGTACTGACAGTTTGATTACTCAGATCTCCTGGTACATCTGTACTGTAGCGGCAACACTTTTCCTAGTCCTCAGGCTGTGGGTCCGAATTCGGAGGTTCAAGGCTCTAGGCATCGACGATGGCCTCCTGATATTGTCGACATGTTGTCTCATCGGGGACTTGATCATTCAGCAGCACATGTGGAATCTTGGTATGGCTGAGATTCCAAAAGCCACGAGAGAGGAGTTTATTCAGATTATGCAGGTAAGACTCCCGCAACCGGCTGGCGCGACCGAAGGCTTAGAAGGTGAACTGACGAGACGTCACACAAAGATGATCGTTCCTGGATCGATCCTCTACGTGACCTCTCTCTGGGCCATCAAAGTCGCACTTGTAATCTTCTACAAAAGAATTGCAGCACCAGCATCGAGACTTCAGATTGTATACAACGTTGCGATTGGCCTGCTCTTGGCGTCTTGGGCAACCATCTTCTTCCACATCATTTTCCAGTGTTACCCGCACGACAAGAGATGGTCAATGGATCCTAATTGTGAGTTAACAATCAATGGGCACAATCAGACCGAGGAACTTGAGATACTGACATCCTGCAGACCAATGCGATCCGAAGGACGCTGAGATCAACTACTGGTTGACGATTCTGCGTGAGAACCCCTCCAACTGATCGTCCTGACGACGCTTGGACTGTGCTAACCCCTCCGCAGTAAACATCGGTTCCGATGTTGCCAGTAAGTCAAGAACATCATATTGCTACTTTTCCCCTTCTGACAAAATCCAGCAATCAGCTTGCCAATTTCAATGGTTCTCAAGCTGCAGATGAAGTTGAAGCAGAAGCTTGGCGTCGCCGCCATCTTCGCACTCGGATTCTTCGTCATCATTGCCAGCAGTAAGTTGCATTGCCTCGACGTCATGCCCTGGCAATTTGATTTCAATCTAACAATCGCAGTTATCCGAGCATTTTACTCCAAGAAAATGGAGACAATGTTGACTTGCACTGTGTCTATGATCGAGACAGCTGTTGCGATCATTGCCGCATCCCTTCCAGGTACGCCGACCCTTAACCCATCATCTGATCATCAGCGTACTAACAGATTTCTGTAAAGCATTGCGAACACTGTTTCTCGGGCACACCTCGACTCGCGGGACCACATCAAACTACCGCTACGGGAACTACGAACTCTCATCGGCCGCAATCGGCACCAGGCGAACCCATCACAGCCGCCTCACAACCACCGTAGTTGGCGGAACACAGATCAGAGACAATGACTCGGACGAGGAACTGTTCAAGGAGGCCGGTCGGTTGAGTGCTTCTGGACGAGGAGCCTCTGTCACACCGACATCGGATAATCCAGGCGTTATCTCTGTCAGCACGACATTCCAGGTGCATCATGGGGCCAACGAAGAGGGCGCAATGTCCAAGGAGAGACTCGAACACTACCCTTAGGGAGACCGAGATCTTTTTCTGCATTGACCCTTTATATGCAACCCACCTTCACGCTCTAACGTACCATTATGCTTTGCACGCGTCACTTCCAAATACCCCTCGCCTCTTCGAACAAATACCCCACACGTACTTAGTACTCCACAACGTCACCTAATACACACCGCATGATACTGCATCTTGTTTACGCATGGAAAAAGATGTCCAAAAAAACTCAATTGCATGATATCAAATAGTGTCGTTAATTCTTTCGTCGTAAGGCTGATCATAGATCACCGGCAACCTCTCTCTTATGTCCATATCCTCGAGGCCAATTTGGTCCCTTCTATTTTCATGACTTCTTCATTCCGCTTGCAATTGCCTCGTTATCTCTGTGGCAACTACCATCCATCAACGTACTGATCGCCAAGCGATAGCTGCTTCAAAGGTTGGCAGATCATCGCCAGACACCTCGAAGTCCTTTCCATCCTGCTCCTGCACGGAGATCTGAAGTGGCACGGATAGATTGATCTTCGTACCCGACGCAGCTGCACTGACACACAAGTGCAAAACGTATGTTCGGGCCACGAAGCAACTGTAAAAAGTCGGGAGGAACACTTTGTGGGTGGTTGGGAGTGCGACCGGGATCTCTAGACTTCCTGCCCACAAAGAGGACTGTCCGCCAGTATCAACATGCTGCCATTTGACTTCTACACCAGTCGTTGGCAGTTTGGTTGAAGTGATGTACTTCAACTCCTGCTTGACGCCGGTGGAGTCTCTTGCCTCGCCAAGTTCTGGGAGGGTCTTGATGGGGGCTCCGCTAAACCAGCTGATCGCCTCGAGCCTGATTTGACCAAGACTGATGTCTGGAGGTGTTGCACATGTCGAGTTCGATTTGAAAGCAAGGTGCATTGTCGCCGAAGTCGGAGAAAGTTGCTGTCCAGCGATGTTTAAGATTGCTGGTGCCAGCTGAACCATAGTCGCTGTGACCTGGTCCCTTTGTGTCGACAGCAGGCTCTTCCGAGTGTACTTAGTCTTACTCAGGCAGTATCGGGTATCTTGCTCAGTGATGCTTAAAGGCGGATCTTCCGGGAACGAGGGGAACACTTTGATGGGCTGGCTGATCTCGGTTGCGTGACCTGGCTCAGACGCACGCTTCTGTAACACACGACCCACGATAGAGTATCCGACTCTAGCCATTACAGGGGACATGTCGTCTTTTTCCCAGTCACCCATGGTCGGTGGCAGCCGCATGTGGAGATGTTGAATGTGTCCGGACTCCGAGAGGGTATGGGCGTGACAAGCGTCACTGGATAGGGCGCGAGGGATTGTGAATTCAAACGGAATATGGTAGGTCTGCCCAGCACGAAAGTTTCGCCCTGAAGGGTATGAGTCCTCGTGAATAGGCATATCCAGCCTCAGGAAATCGTTATCGATGATCTTGTGAGCAGGTAGCATATCGATCCGAGTGTGGGAAGTGCCAAGGAGGGCGATTTGGATGCAATCGAATGGTGTATCCCTTTGGGTGCAAACTGATAGTGTTCCAGAGACCTTGGAGTTGCACGTGTAAATCTTGGACGTGTAGTGGTCGTCGATGCTGATGCTCAGCGCCATCTTGGGCATGTGCATAATGCGACGTGAATCGTGGCCCAGGATAGAAACGGAAGGGATTGAAACAGGACGAATGCACTTGAAGATACAAGAGGAACTGTCAGTCTTTGTTGTTGTTGATATCATTCTCAAAAACTGAAGCTGAAAAGAGTTGGTGGAAAGTTGTGATGAAAACGAAAGAACTGCAAGTTTTGGCGAAGAGGGGCGACAACACATGTTTTATACCACAAAACCGCTCAAATTCATGCCAGCATTTGTCGTTGCAATCAGGCAATGACTCGACTGATTGGGCTAACGAAAGTTTTCAAATCTTTCGGTGCGCGGGCGGCATTGGAACTTTGTCATTTCAACTCGGCTATACTCAACGTACACGGAAGTGGATGGAGCGCCGGACTCGACTTGAGACCTCCGGGACCCACTCTCTCGGGACGGCTTAACGTACACGGACGGGCCCCGCTTCCGATCATCCAAGGCGGCCAAGCGCGCCCTTTTGTCGATGCCCTGACCCCCGCACCAGTCGATATTAGGGGGAAAGTACGTAATTGAAATCCGAAATTGCGGCAAAGGAGAAATTCCGTCCGCTGTTGCACGTGCCCGGGAAGTTTGCCTCAGTTGAGTTGCTTGGTGCGACCTCACGTAAACGGTAATTCTGCCGATGTGGCCAATCAGATGACATGGATTCTTCCCAAAAGACAGCTCCGGGTCACTTCTCGTTGGGTTTCAAAGACTAACTGGATTGAAGAGCATGGCAGCTTTCATCTAATAACCAAAATCGCCTTCAACGAATGACCCATGGGGACCCAGAGCATACACTTGAGGCATGTCTGCCCTTGCAACCTCCTCGAAGGTCTGTCCATCAAGACCAATAAGAATGCTGTGAGTTCCTTCCCGGTCGATGACAATAGTAAGAACTATGCCGTCATCCTCGTCCGTTGCGCCAGGTCTTTGCACGAAGACTGGCTCACAAGGGCAACTCTCTCCGTTGTCTGGCTGCCATCGCTTGAACGTTCCAGTTTTCCAGTCGGACTTTGCTAAGCTCCCGAAAAACGCTGCTTGGACAACCTTTAGCCCGTTCCCGAGTCGGCCAATTGGCACAGCTGTCCCCGGAGAGGGGCCGCCATTGCCAGCAGTGCAATAGACGTAGCGATAATTAGGGTCCATTGAGGCAACCTTGGCAATCCGCGGAAGCTCGCATGCCATTCCTGGTATTGACGCAGCGACTGTTACACGGCCGATGCGAGACGGATCGGCGTTGTCCACGCCGGCCATCTCGTACCGGACGAGAGTGCCGTCCTGAAAAGGCCGTGCTGGATCCACAATGTTGCTCAAACTGTACTCGCTGTACGATGGATAAGTTTCTTCGTAACTGCAAAGGTCGATATGAATATTGACGGCGCCGGTTTGACGATCAACGTAGTCGTATCCATTAACCGAATGGAAAAACATGAAGCCATCCTTTTGCGCATAAGTCGCGACGCTTTGGAACACAGTGTCAGTCAAAATTCAATGACGGTTGAGCTTCTACAGAGGGCACTTACTGCCTGCCGTCATTCTTATTCAAAACAAAAAATTGGGTTGGAGTGTTAGGCTCGAATTGGAGCATGTCTGACATTGGCTTCGTCGTATCGCTGACATCCATTTGAACCGGCTATAATTTGGAGCTAAGCAAACAACTTTCGCAGAAAGTCATAGTTGATAGATCACTTACATTCCTGATGAAAACCACATACTTGTCTGTCATCGCCAGAGAATGAATGTAACACGGCTTGCATGGGAGTGGCGTTTTCCAGAAAAGGGACGCAGGTTTTGATGCAATATTCAATGCAAAGACTGACATGATACCCTTCTCAGGGTCAATCAAATAATTGAAAGTTAGACCCCGGATGCGATCTTTGGGTGGATGAGAGCAAATGCCGTAGCCAGACAGTTCTGGGTCGATTTGTGCATATGTGAGCATCCGCTTTGGCTCGAGGGTTCGCGCATCGCAGACTTGAAGGAGGTTGAAATCCGTCTGGACCAGGACCTGGATTGGTGCACTCTGTTAGCCATGTTTAGTTATGAGTAACCGTGACCATACCTCTTCGGTCGCTGGGTCCTTTGCCTCGGGCCCTTTGGAGTGTGGATTGTCGTCCGGTGGAAGGTGCATCCCACGGCGAGGAACAACGTTTACATTTATCTCATCAGGCTCCATATACCCATTTGGAAGATAGAGAGATTGCTTCAAAATGTGTTAGCATGTGAGTGACTTGAGGGAATACCATTCTACTGACTTGAGCTCCAAGCAGTGCCGAACACGGATCTTGCGTGTACTTAAGAGGCGCGTTTGGATTGAGACCGAAGACGTTGGTGGAAAGATAGCCATCTCGTTTGGCCCTCCTCACAACCCCCTCGGAAGTGTATCGGCTTGTATAGTGAACATTCCCATCCAGCATCCGAAACTTGTGAAGCATACCGAGGCCGTCAAAGAAATGCTGGATAATAGCTCTGGGCTTTGAGCCATCTTCAGATAACGGGACAGTAAACCGTCCTGGCCCGATTCTGTATTCACGTCAGCAAAACTCTTTGTCTTTCTTCTTCTTCAACCTTCGCATAGACTGACCGAACAAATGTGCCCTTCAGCCATGGCGGCCATATGCCCGCAGTAGTGCACTCAGTCTCCGTAGTTGTTTCGGGGACATCACGAAGGTATGGAGGCAAGTACTTGAGATCCTCTTCGGGAAGGAAGTACTGATTGTAACCTGGACTGGGTTTCTGACTGACGACCATGGTTTAGATCTCCTGTGACTCGAAATTACTGCAGCGTAGCCAAGATTCGCTCCTTGAAACCTGCAGGATATTGATAACGGTGGATCCACGATGCAGCCGTCTTGCGCACCTAGGGCCGTCAATAAATGACATAGCCAACGGGATGCCCGGTCGAATGCATTACAACCCCGCGTCTCCGCAGTTCCCCATACTCCGAGCCCGATTACGATCTGCCGCGCGCTGCAGAGTGGGCACGGGCCGGCGCGTGTGCGGGGTGACATCCGGGGTTTGGAGCTTCTCCCCGAGCACTACTTCAGACTTTATCTCCCCGATAGCTACCTCGAGGCCAATAGTACGTATCCTATTGGAAACTGTATTGTTGGTAGAGTGATAGGTGATTGTAAATACGATGGTTTACGATGTCGTTAAACAAGGCGTCACGCAGTTGTTGATAACCTAGTCTTTGAGAGACTATGCAAAATTAGAGGTCGGCTTGCTCGCTGTCTTGAATCGCAAAATCGCTCTCAATCTTCAAAGGCTGAGCAAAATGTCGTCTGATATTCCCATAACTAGCTCCTCGGTGATGGTAGGTTTTCTTCTTTGTAACTCATCGCGCCGGACCTCTGCTTGAACTATGAAAACTAACTTAGAATCGTACGCAGCATTGGCCATTGTCATGGAGAATCTGGATTCTCCTCAACGTCAGCTTTTACAACCTTCTGGGGAATGCATTTGCGGCTGGGGTGTCTCCCTTGTTCTCCCTGATTATCCAAGAGCTTCATTGTACCTCTGAAGAAGCATCGCAACTGTCAACCTACGTACTCCTGACCCTTGGTTTGTCGGTAAGTTCCATGCAGCATAATCATACAGAGAAGACACAGAGACTAACGGAGCCCGTCATTAGAATATACTCGCACTCCCGGCCGCCTCATTGATCGGCAAACGCTACACGATCCTGATATCCTTACTATTCTTCCTCGCCTTCTGCCTATGGGGTGCTGAGGCACCGACATTCAACTCTCTCAGAGCTTCAAGGATTTTAGGCGGTCTAGCTGGTGGCCTCGTCGAGGCTCTAGGCCCAAGCATCGTTGCGGAAACCTTCCCAGAAAGCCAATTAGCCAGTGCCATGGTGGTCTACGTTGGACTCCTGGCCGCTGGTTCGAGCTTGGGACCAATTGTCGCTGGAGTTGTGGCCGAGGGAGTGAATGACTGGAGATGGTACTTCCGCATTCTCGCGGCCCTCATTTTCGTCACACTCCTAGGATCGCTCCTAATGCTTCCGGAAACACGGATCGACGATCAAACACCCATTGAGGTCTCAACCGACAATGAGGACAATCTCAAGCGCTTAGGTTCCAACTTGAAGTGTACGGAAGTCGAAGAAGCTCGTCAGAGAACCGGGAATGAGCTCCTGTCGACCAAAAGACAATGGTGGCTCAGATCCTTTACTGGCGCCTATGTCGACATGAACTGGAAACTCGCAATGACTAGTTTTGTTCAGCCAGTGCAGCTTCTTGTGGCCCCGCAGGTTCTGATCACCACCCTGGTCTTCGGGTTCACGATCGGCTGGACTGTTCTCGTTTCCATCCTCGTGGCCGTTGTCTACGCACAGCCACCCATGCTCTGGACAGCTCGTCCCGTAGGCCTCCTTAGCGTTGGAACTCTACTTGGTCTCCTGATAGGACTTCCAATCGGCGGTGCTCTAGCGGACTTCTTGTATGGGAAGGCAGCCAGGAAAAACAAGCACATGCCGAACCCGGCCTCTAGACTGCCGGCTGTTGTCATTGGTGGAATCATCAGCCCTGCTGGGTGCATTGTGATCGGTTACGGCTTGAACTCTCCAGAGAATTGGATTTCAGTGAGTGTCGGCTGGGGAATGTTGGCTACGGGGTTGACATGCTCGGCCAATGTTTTGCTGACGTATGCTGTTGACACCATGCCTTCTCGGGCCAGTCACATTGGAGTTCTGGTGAACTTGATCAAGAACTGTGTCGGTTTCGGTGTGTCTTATGCCGCCATCACTTGGATGGAGCGAATGGGCCCTATGAAGCAATTTGGCATTATGGCAGGTGTTCTGTGGGCGCTTTATCTGCTGGTCATCCTCGTCTACTTTTTCAGCGAAGTCATCATTCGTAGGACTGCTAGTCTCGCTTGATCTGTTCCCTTGGAACATTGAGGTCGAGAGTGTAGGGAGCGGCTTGAGTGTGTTGACAACAGTGTTGTAGACATTGAGAGTAGATACGGTTTGCATGGAGTTTTGATAGTTTGCTTTTCATAATGAAAAAGAAAAATGAATCAAAAAAAAGTTGAAAATGTACAGAAAAGGGTGGAGGGGGATGGTTCAACATTCAAACCCTTCGATATTTAATGCCTTGTGAATCATGAGTATGGGACGAGATTGTTTAGAAACCATGCCACTCTTTCAACTCTACTGGCAGTTTTGTTGTAATTGGTCAAATCTTTTTTCATTTCAAGCAGCTCTATTTACACAGAATTCTGCTGCCGGTTCACTCTCTAACACAGACAGCCATTATGGTCGGTCGCTCAAGCAGACACCAAGCTCTCTACATCCATGTCGGCGGAACGATAGAAACCTAAGCTCTTGAGCATGGGCGAATCATCAAACCGGTACAAGTAAACCGGCTCTTGCAGTCCCTGGTCGGCGAAATGCTGGTAGGGATACCATGAAGGAATACAAAAAGTGTCCCCCTTTTTCCACTGGAAAACTTGATCGCCGATGCGGCTGTGTCCAGAACCCTCAACAACGTGATAGACTGAAGACGCAGTCTCTTGAACCAGCGGTGATTTCGCACCGGGTGCAATGCGGGCGGCTTTCCCTCCTAGGATCTTGCTCACTAACACGGCGTAAGTAAACAAGTCGGGTTCAAAAATTTGAGGCTAGAGGAAAACTTAACGCACCTTCAGACCCGTCGGCATGCAAGTATCTACTTGTAGCAAAGTCGCCGCCATCAGAGTCGAGCACAGCTTTCATTCGGCTCCATGGGAATACAATGGGCGATTGGGAGGTGTCGACATTATCGGCGGGATAACGGGGGGCCGAGAAATGCTCAACAAAGTGAACCGGGAAATGGGTGAAGTTGGGCAAATCAAGACCATCGAGCCAAATCATTGGTCCCGATCCATCCTTTCCATGGTCGTGCCAGTTCCACGTGGGGGTCAAAATGACGTCCCCACGATTCATCTGGATACGCTTACCATGAACAGCAGTAAAGCCGCCCTGGCCCTCAATGATGAATCGCATTGCGAAGGCGGTATGGCGATGGGCTTTTGCTGTCTCATTGGGCATGACTAGCTGCAGCCCAGCGTAGATTGTATCAGTCGTGAAGGGTGCATCTCGTGTGCGAGTCAGCTGCGCCCGACAGAGCGAATAGAGCGAATCTCGGCTCTCTTACCTCGAGATGGGTTCACAAGCATCAAAACCCTGCGCTCGGCTTGGTGCTCATTCACAAGTTGTCCGGCTTGCAAAAGAGTTGGGCGAATTTCTGAGTATTTCCAAAGGAATGGTGTGCATCTTGGGTTTGGCAGAGGTGGATTCAATCTTGACATCTGAAGCCACAGCGGCTTTGTGTGGCTGGCTTCAGCTGCCTGCAGCATCTTGGCCGTCTCATCCTCGGCTGGCTTGGGCTGCGTGTAAGTCTCGGTTGCTGTTGTAGAAGACATAATTGCGATCTGATTGCGCGTGCGTGGTCTGTTGGCAAATGAGGCGATTGCGGACTGGTTCTTTAACCTTCGACGAAGATTATCACAGAGTCACAACGTGCCATAATATGAACGTCGATCAAGAATGCCTTTCTCCTCGCTGTTGCTGCAGTCGCCAGATGCGATTTGTCCCAAGCTTTCCGACGCTGGTAACAAGTGAAACTCCAGGGTATCCGGGGACATTAGTCTATCTCCGGCGAAAATGGCTGGCAGCTCTAAGCACTGACGCCCAAAGCTCCGCTAAACGTCTCGAGCCACCTCACAAACTGTGGCTTAGGTGGACACAAGCTTTGGCGATCCCTAACTCCCCGCCCACAACGTCTTCCCCTTCCGGGGATATCGACATCTTTCTCTCTAAATCCCCGCCTCTATCGTGTCCGTAGCTATGCAGCGAAGAAGATTCTGCAGGCAGAAAGGCAGCAGATACAGCCGATGGAGAACCTCACCCCTCCAGTCGCAAACGTCCGGAAGCGGAAGCGAATTCCGATCGCCTGCAGTGCTTGTCGGGCCCGCAAGTCACGGGTAAGTCACCTGCCCTAATCGATCAACGGAGATGATTCTCGGCGCTGGCCTATAATGGTCTTTCTAGGGGTCCCTAGCAGCTAATATGGAATCTGTGTGTGAAAGTGCGACGGTGCGAGACCGTCGTGTTCGGCATGTGTTGAACAAGCCATCGACTGTGTCTATGCTGTGAATTCTGGGCCAAGCAACGCTCTGGTTCCCAAACAGTATGTCTCACTAAGGAACCCCGTGTGAAGAATGGAATGACCAATCTGCAATCTAGATACCTCGAGCAAGTCGAAAACCGACTAGCAGATGTCGAAGAGGAAATTGGCCGGCTGAAACGACTCGTACCCAACGCGATCCCCAATGGAAAACAACATGTGATTCATTCCCGTAGCACCTCGTCGCGTCGCGACCATCCATCTGAAAGCCCTTACGGGGAAGACTCTCTTCACGTCGAAGACGGAAGTTTGCCCGGTATATCCCCAGATGCCACAGATGGGGTGGGCACTATTGAGTTCGGCAATGAAGAGACATGGGCCTATTTTGGTATGATGCTGTCATTAATAACACGCTGTTTTCGTGACCTTGTCAGTTCCCCATTTACTGACCTTATTGTATCATAGGCCCCTCATCCAACATTGCTTTCACTCGAATCATCCGTCGGACTTTGAGCCACTTGCTTCACAATGCGCAGAAAAGTCAACAACCCGGGGTTGTCTCGCCTGATCGAGATGCACAGCAACATATTCTTGCTGTTTCCAGATCAGAATCCCCCATAGACGATTCTTACGACTATAGGAAACTAGAGACACCCGCAGAAGCGAGTCGTCTTCCACCCGAGCCAGAACTAACACGTCTCATCCGCCAGTTCTTCTCCGACACTGGACTTCTGTTTCCTTATGTCCACGAAGACAGCTTTTGGAAAAACTACACACAGTTCCGAGCGACAGGGTTGAAGAATGCTAGACATTCGTGGCTTTCATTATTAAACATGATTCTTGCTATGGCGACAAGCACAGCTAATGCAGACGGACTCGGGCTGAACGATAGACAAGCCATCTCAGAGGTCTATTACAGGCGTGCTAAGGTGCTCTCGATGAGTCAGATGGGCGCCACAGCCAATGTCGAAGCAGGTATGATGCCACTCTTGCCCTAGTTGACCGAGGCATGGACCATCACTGACTGCTTGCTCAGTTCAAGTTATGCTTTTGATGTCCCAATATCTGCAGGGTAGCCAACGGTCTATCCAAACATGGGCCATTCATGGGATTGCAGTCAAGGCCGCAATGGAACTGGGGCTCCACTCCCAGCTTGCTCTTCAGAGATTCGATCCATTGGAAAGAGAAATAAGAATCCGTACATGGTATGGGTGTGTTGCGCTCGATAGGTTTGTTTTCTTGATTCAACGATGCTGCTATCGACTCTCTCTCATGCTGCAATAGGACATTGAGCTTAACGTTCGGAAGGCCGCCGATCGTTCCACAAATCTACATTCGCACACCTCAGCCGAGTCACTTTATCCCATATCCAGACAACTCCAAGATTCTTCGATGGTCTCAAAATGAAAACAGCACTCTCTTTTGGAACGGATCTTTGTACGCCATTGCTGCTGACTATATCTCTGTCAAAAGTTGATTTGGTGGCTGACCAGTTCCACAGGACTTTGTATGGTGTTACGGCATCGGTTATTGATGAACTTTACGAGAGCAACCTTGGCTCTAGCGTGACACCAATTCCGCCGGCGAATATCGTGTCGACCGTGATCCACACTGGACAGAAACTAGCTGCCTGGCAAGCATCACTTCCAACGTCCATGCGGCTTGTTGAACCTTCAGAGATATGTGACTCAGCGGAAAGTCCAATATCACTCAAATTCCGAGTTATCCTGACTCTTCGGTACCACAACCTGCACATATTGTCTCATAGGCCCATCTTGGATCGCTGCCTGCAGGCTCTTGACGGAACTCCGCAGACAGATCAAGAGACGGCAACTCTTCAACAAGGATGGTACCTTAGTAAGGACGCATGTCTTCAGTCTGCGGAAAGCATCGTCCGCCTTGTTGAAGCTTGCAAGTCCTCAAGTGACAAGCAGCCAACCATTTCCTATCTTGGGGCTTGGTGGTTCAGTCTTTACTTCAGTACGTACTTCCTCCCTGACCAAGAATCCACCTAATGCTCTCTTGTAGCCTTCAACGCGGCGTTGACGATTGTTGCCATTAAAATGATCGAGGAAAGATCTTCGCCGTCACCGTTTGATCGAAGCTACTCCAACGCCACTGAGCGCCTCGACGAGGTGCTGAAGGATGCGGTCAATTGCATAGCACGCCTAGACAAGCAAAACCAAATGGTCGAAAAGTGTGCCAAGTTCACCGCGACCTTGATCTTCCTTGTACAAAGCCTCTCAGCAGGTAGGATCTATCAAAAGTATCGGGTAGATTCGGATCCAGCTAACAACCAATTAGTTCCGGCGAGAGACAATGGCATAGTCCCGGATGCGCCAATCCAGGTGATCCCTCCCACTGGGGAAGTGCTTCCGGTCAATGTTTCAACAAATAATGGCATGGACGAAGCCTTTGCGGATTTAATGAACTTTCTCCCACCAAATTTCAATGACTTCTCTGCGTCTAGTGGGCCGTTTGCAATGTCTGAGCTGATGGATGACTTTGCAACTGGGGATCTTTTCTGGTAGTTTAGTTGCGAATGCCACAGAACCTCCCGATCCTTCGGCCGAATTCTAGAGACTGAGGACTGGTTGCTTCCCGAATTCTTTGCGTGCATTCGATGTATCAAATTTGGGGAACTATGGAAACTTGGGATGAATCAGCAAAAAGGGACTACATCTACTTTCTCTATGCCATAACGTAGAATTATCAACATCGCCTCTTCGTGGTGACCACCGCAGATCACACTGATTATATATACGTCGAACATTCTTCAATAAGCATAGGTAACCATGTAGGAACCTTCTATGATAGCAATTCCACAACGCTTGTTCTAATTTAATGCCCCTAATCACTCGAGCACTCAGACGTTCGAGTCATCTCCCGTCGCCACTGCTCTTCCATGATGACCTCGGCATCGTATCCGTATGCCCATGACTGCGTTAGCGGATCGGACCACTGATTTGGACTGCTAGCAAATCTTCTTCCTTCAACTTCAGGCTGCATCGCCGCATCTCGAGCTCGTTGTTCAGGTCCATCCTTGAAATGCCACAAAAAGGCATTCACCATGCTTGCCTCCTGCATCATGGAAGTCCGCCGTTTTCTTTCCTGCTGGAATACCTGCAAAGCAAGTCCAAGTTGATCCTGGCTTGTGATGTTGCTGAGCGCTACAGCCAAGGCAGCACCATCTTCGACTGCCATCGCGGCGCCCTGTGACATGTATGGAAGCATGGCATGGGCGGCATCGCCGAGAATGACCATCCGAGAGGACTCCGCAACCCAGTTATGGAGGGGGTCACCTGCCATCAGAGGCCACTTAATTGTTTGGTCAATGAGCTCAATGATTTTGGTGAGTCTATCGGATAATTGTCAGTCCTGTTGATCGTAGATAAAAGAGAGCACCAGCACTTACTGATTGTCCCAGCCTTGAAACTCGGCCCGCATCTCCTTGAGCACATCGGCCTGGCCTTTTTGCTGCCATGTCGAAGGGTCTCGACAGTCCCTATGAGAAAGCACCATATTGAATGACTCTCCAGCGGCGATTGTGTAGGTCATGACGTGGCGATCCTCTCCGATCCTGTATCTCATTGTCAGCGACATAGAAATGACGCAGTTTGTCTATCGAACCGTTGACATACCACACGTGGAGACCCGGCTTTTCCAAAAGCCATGAGATTTCGGGAATCTTTCGCATTTTACTGACATCGACCGTGGCTCTGTATACAGCAAAGCCAGTGTACTTAGGTCCATGTCCCTCGCCATACGGTACGAGATCCCTAGCAACAGATTTGACTCCTATTCAAGCGTCGTTTTGTCAGTGTAAGTGTTGAATGGCGTGAATATGGTAAATGAATGACCAAGACACTCACCGTCAGCTGCAATGATGATGTCTGCAGAGACGACTTCACCGTTGCACAACGTAGCAGTTGGTGCCAGAGGATTGTAGTTGGCAACCCTGCTGTCTAGGCGTACGGTGACTCCAAGGTCCAGCGCCCGCTTGTACAGTGCAGAGTGAAGATGGGCTCGGTGCGCTACGTAATACGGAGCGCCACAGAGCTCTACAAAGGTTTGGGACAGGTCGGTAAACCCAATGCGCTCGCCGTTCTCCCATCGTCGAAAAGAGATTCCGTCTGGTCGAACCGCCTGCTCGGCCATGACATCCATGACTCCCCATCGCTGAAGAAGTTTACTCGAGTTAGGTGGAATCTGGATGCCAGCGCCGACCTATTCCGAGTTATTAGATGTTCCATCTTTGAGGGATTCGCTTGTCTTTTATTCTTACCTCTGAGAGAAGCGTAGCCTGCTCCAAAACAGTCACTTTGTGTCCCTTTCTAGCAAGAGCAACTGCGGTTGCCAGACCACCAAGCCCAGCACCCACAATAAGAGCATCTAGAGGAACGATAGCCTGAGCCACATCACCGACAACGCCCGCCTCGGTTTCCAGCGTTCGGAGAAACTTAAGGCAGTTGGATGGGTACGATGGTGCGGTTGGTATGTGGCAGTTGCTCGAGCCTTTGACAGGGGCACGAGTCGCGTTACCGTTTGCATGGTCTTTCAAGGAAAGCGACTCAGGTGTTGAGCCCAGCGACTTCAACGACGTCGTCTTCGGAGGCACTGTCTGTAGCTCTGTTACAGAAGGCATTTTGCAATGAACAGTAGTCGGCGTTGAATGTCCGTTGGCGACAGGATTGCTTCCAATTAGAATGATGATGATGCCTTGTTGTGAACATTTACCATCCGCACCGTCTCAGTTCAGCTAGTTTCATATGAGGAAGTCATCGCCTCAGTTGAACTGCCGATGTGGATCTGGTGTCATGTGGTTCAGTTTTCCCCAATATGCTGGTCGATTTCGAAGGAACCCATTATCTCCCCGACAGACCTTTTACTGGGAACCGTATGATTTTCCCCGCATTATGCTCTCGGAGATTCAACGACCGCCTAATCTCCTTTTCTTGGTAGACCTGAAAGCCGTACTGCTGGGTTCGGTTGGTGGCAATCGACGGGTCGGGGACTTAGCTCTAACCCCGCCCGGCATTGCCAACCTCAACACCGACAGCGGTGTCACAGTCCCCCGATAACGGCAGTTTGTGACGGTTAACCACGTCTCAAAAGCCAGCGACGAGTCTTGTTCGCTGATGATATCAGGGTTAATTCGCACGATAATTCAAACAATACGAACAAAAGCGCCAACTTTTATTCCCGACATGCACGTGCCCTGGAAAAGACTTATTCGTTTCGTCGCCGACGACGGAAGAATACTTCGAGGAGAGCCAATCTTACCTAATGATGACTTTGATCTCGGAAACACCACTGAAGACACCAAGCTGCAGGCAAAGGTCATTCAAGGCTCCGACATATACGACACCACAGGCCAACTTCAAGTCACCGACGAGATCGTGACAGTGAAGAAGTTGCTCGGGCCCTTGACCCCGGAAGATGTCCCAATCCTCAGATGTGTTGGTTTGAACTACGCCACTCATAGTAAGCCATCCTCGTTTCAAGAGACACAGTCTTGACTTACTCCATTACAGTCAAAGAAGCTGGCCGTAAGCCGCCACCTTTTCCCTCAATTTTCTTCAAACCAAACACTACGGTCTTTGATCATGGAGACGACGTTATTGTCCCCAAGATTTGCCAAAATGACCAAGCAGACTATGAGGGTGAGCTTTGCATAGTCATAGGCAAAGATGCGAAGGATGTGACAGTGTCAGAAGCCTTCGATTTTATTGCCGCTTACACTTGCGGCAACGACGTGTCATCTCGGAAATTGCAGCGCGATCCTGCGTTCGCTGGCAATGTGCCTCAATGGGGATTCTCTAAAGGCTTCGATACTTACGCCCCCCTTGGACCCTGTCTGGTCAGGCCCGACTTAGTGGGTGATCCCAAAGCTCTGCTTCTACGCACGACTGTCGACGGGGAAGAAAGGCAAAAGGAGATGATCTCTGATCTGTTATTTGACTGCGCCTATCTTATTTCATACCTTTCTTCAGGCACCACACTGCAGAAAGGTTCGGTCATAATGACAGGAACACCTGGAGGTGAGTTTAGAAAATCATCGCTTGAGCCCCCTTAGATGCTGATGTGAGGAATCCGAAAAGGAGTTGGAGGAAGCTTGAAGCCGCCTAAGTGGCTCCTACCTGGATCCAAAATGGAAGTCAGCATTACGAATATCGGAACGTTGAGGAACGGCGTTAAGTTTGCATAGACATGACCAAACTTCGCCATTTCGGTCCGCATTCGCGATCATGGCTCGACAACCGTGGATTAATAGTTTCCAAGATGCATTTGATCTTGAGTCTCATGGTCATCACAACCACTCACTATTACATATACACATTACTGTCATCTGTCCGAACTTCGAAGGACCCACTCTTCGCCCCGTCTCTCGAGACCTCCCACAATACCGTGAGCTCTGAGGTGAGGTATCTGAAGCTCACTGTCCCTGTTGCGCATATCCATCTCCTGTTGTTCCCTCATGAGTGCGGTCTTCTCGTCGGGGTTCATAGCAAGGAATGCTGGGAGTGGAGACCCTTTGACAATCTCAATGTCCAATCCAGCAGTCTGAATGATGACGATCAGAAGCGTAATGATTGAAAGTCCAACCTGAGCCGCCAGCAGTGTCAACCACGGCCATCGAATGGAGACGAAGACTTCGTCTTGCCAAGCACTCCCGCTCTCATTCGTAGTAAGCAACCTGTGTTTTTGTGAGCCTTTGACCATAGATATACTATTGCCGAGAGTTCTTACGCGTTTGTAAGTCCGCTTGCGATGTTTTGAGTCAGATTCATCAGTGTTATGAAATATGCATCGTCCAACTTCTGCGATTCGTTCAACGGGTTGATGCCTATAGCTGCTCTTGAGAGAGCTGTTCCGTATATCTCCGAGCCGTTGTTAAAGGTGTAAGCCCCCAGATCGATGTAATACCCGACCAATGTGTTCGATAGAGCCCCCGCTATGTTGTCCGGGCCCATACCACTAGCAACGTACTGCTTCCCGGGACTGTCCGGCGACGTCAGATAGGTGCCGTTGATTGTCATGTTGTAGTTCTGTACGAAGACCTCTCCGAGGTTGGGCTTCGTGTACGAGGCCACTTGCTGAGTTATAGGCACATTGTTCTGGACTGTTACGTTGTACGTATTGACACACCAGTGCATCATGATCTCATACGCTCGAAGTTGTGTGGGGGCAGGACCGTAGAGAACAAAGAAGTTGAAGAGCTCTGCCTTGATGATGTCCGTATCGTTGTACGAAAGACTCGTGCCTGTGGAAATGTTCATATTGTGATACCCATAAGCACTTCGTTGCATCGATACGCCGTTGGGCAATGTTGCGTTTGTGCCGGCCTTAATGGGATCTCCATCTGTTGTTAAAAGATTTGTTACATCTGCCTTGTACGTTAGTCCCGATTAACGCATACATGTAAGTAGGCATTATGCCGAGAATAGTACGAACTCTTCATGTCCACGCAAACAGCAAGAGTACTAAAACTTGGCCATGTGCAGTTGTTGGTTCGGCAGCTAGGTTGATGATACGGCATCACTTCATCTGGAGGAGTGTTCAAGGCTCGAGGTATAGCCTGGTTGATGGGAAACATGATGTCTCCTGTGATTTGTTAGTTCGCCAAAGACCGACAGGGGGGATAGAACATAACTCACGAACTGCATTGCCGTTTGCTGTTGCCCAAAAGTATCCATCATTTCTCATTGTCAACGCGCTGTCATTTGCTGGCAAAACAGTATGTCGGGTTGGGTATGTGACAACGGACTGAGTCAGAGTCGACGTAGCAATTCCAGATACGAGGATGATAGCGGACATGATACCTATGATTCTGTTATATGGTCAGTATTATTCGAAAGCAACAAGGTAAGGTAAGGTACTGACCTTCCCTTCGTTGTGACAAGCAACTTCAAGCTCCCCCAAGGTCCTCTGCTGGCTTCGTCAAAGACGCGAAAATCTGCCAACGGTCTCGGCGACTTCTTGTACCAATTCCACTTGTACTGCGACAAGCTTTCCATGACCGGTAGGATGAAAGCAGTCCGACAGATGGTCGACACAAAGGCGATGACAGTATTGAGTGTTAGACCTGATGGCCAACTTGGCAACGGTCTGCCATCGTAGGAGTTCAACAAAGTGACCAATACAATGACGCATATGAGGCTGATGATGGACCACGCGATCTCCTGCCACCACCCTCGTAAGACGTAGAATCTTGGGCGTTTTCTGCGTATTGACCTCTCCTTGTTCTTGTCGGCGCTGCTGGTTTTGACAAGTTCGTATTCGCTTTCACGGGTCCCGAATGTGGTGCTAGATTTTGGCTCCTTGCTCTCCCTATCTTGGCGGTGGTCTCCTGAAGATTGTGCCCCTGTGTTGTTCTCTGGGCTCCAGTCGTAGACTTGAGTATCGGCCGAAGCGAGCAAAAGGGCTTCATCATACCCCAGCGGTGGCACGTAGGACGGAGTAGGCTTGCGCCTGATGTGGTCTCCCTGGTTCATCGCGAAAAAAAGCTTTTTGCTGTGCCGCCGGGAGCTGGCGCCTGGGGTGGTGTATTGCTGCAAGTCTATCGACAAAAGAGATCGATCCCGTCCAGCCCTTTTAGCCCCTGCCAAAAAGACCCAATACCGGGGGCAGCTCTGCTTTAAAGTCAGCCAAGCCCCGTAAGACCACGGATGTCATCGCCACAGTGGGAGCTTGGAGGTCGCAGTGCAGGGTAAGCACTACTCCAAGTTCGGGTAAGCTACCCAAGCACCGTTTGATCCTTCGCACAGCCAAACATTCTTTTCGCGGCTGCCTAGGTCTTACCCGACACTAGCAGTAAGCTGGCCTATTTCTAGCGCATGATCAGGGGCAGGGCTCGCTGCAGTCGCTCGTCTCAGAGGAGCCGTAATTGCTTATTTCTGAAAGCCGTCACGGAATGTCAAATTCCATTCAGGATCAGCGCCGACGTGTCTGATGATCAGTAGCTGACTAGAGCTGCCTAGCTCGATTGACCGTGACCTTTGAGGCCAAGCCTTCAATGACAAAATATCATCACCAAAGCTTTCGTTCACAAAGTAATTTTGCATCAATTCAGTTCGGCGCGCGATAGTTGAATATCCCTGGGACACCTAGCTCAAATGTTGAGTCTTTAAGGCTATGTTTTGGCCGTCCGTAGGTCGCAAGCCTACAGCTCGGCAACACTTGCATCTATCTATTTTCACGACGCTTTCCGGAACGCCCGATACGTTCCCGCGAGCGTCTAGTAGCGTTGATAGTTAATCTAGACTTGCCTTTGTTCATTGCGTTGGTTCGCTATCACCTTTAAAGCCAAGCGCAGTAATCATTGATAGGAGACTAGGGGCTTGGTTCCAAAGGTATATGTGATGTAAACCATCTTAGCCAAGCGATAGATGAGTTCATATCTCTTGTAAAGTTCCTGAAGATATCTAATGTTGCAAGCTCAGAGGCCTTGCTTGCCGTGAAAGATTCACATGCGTGGGGACAAGCAGGCCGAGATCACTGAAACCCATTAAATCCTTGTAAAGCTGGGTTCAAGACATGCCAACTCAAGCTAGGCCTTAGCCTCTTGCTCAGATGGCGATGGACACAGTCCTCTCGATGTTACATGGTCACTACCGCATCCCCAAACCTAAGGGATTTAGATGTAAGGCTTTTTTGCACTCCATATTGTTTTGGCCTTGAATATATAGCTTTCAAATACATTTCATCGAATTTTGTTTCCTGCCATTGATTGCCATGAGGCTCCACTGTATTACTGTCGAGTCCCGAAGCAGAACCGTCCAAGGCGTCTTTGCAACTATGTCACACTTTCCAATACAGTAAGTGTTGACAATCTTGTGATTTGGCACACTCATTGAGAATGAAAAAGGAGTGCTGGATTTGAATCAGAACATGGGCGTCGCCACAATTGTCTTGGTAGCCGTGTACGTCCTTGAGGCTCGCCCTCCACAGCTCGACAAAGATTCTCAAGGTCCGAAACAGTATGCGCTTGTTTGGTCTTATTACCCGGGGGAGAAGCTCAGTAAAATTCAAATCATTCGGAGAGGTATCATGTCCCATTCTGTTTGAACGTAGCAAATCGAGTTAGCCACTCAGTCTGTCATTCGACAGATCAATCCATGTCTGAGCTTCAGTTCAGGCGGCAATCAATAAGCTTAAAGTATTCGCTGGCATATGACTACCGTCATCAGATGAAACGTCAACCGGCAGGTTCGGTCAGCGTTTCAGACCGTTTCATGCAGCTATTCTTCCGCAGAGAGTACATAAAGGCCAGAATAGTAATCCAGCGATCCTAGTGACAACCTTTGATGCATTTCTGAGCCCATTTTGCGGTGTTGATGTCGCGTATCGGTCGGAGTAGCGAAGCGTAGTACGTGGCACTGACTGACTGAGGGTCTGGAGAGCCGTTTTGGTCTTCCTAAAATCCTGTTTCCAGATTCTGAACTACAAGAAGGCATCACTATGTTATCTGTGAGTAGGCGGTCTTCCTTCATCAACCCGTTGCATCCGTACTGATTTCAAGCCGATCGTTGTTCTGAGCTTTTCTGCGCTGGTGAGCGCGTGTGGGCTTGCAGGACGCCATGTGCTGGGACCACGGGACGCGTCATCACTGCTGTAAGTTGGCGAGATGGCGGCTACAGAAAGCATGTTCTGAGAAGAATCCAGCGCGAGCAGGGCAAGAACGGGAGACCCGCTGCAGTCTCTCCGCATCCTGAACCCATATCCTGGTATCTTCGCCTACTATGATGGACGGACGGGAGAACGCTTCCACTCAGATCAGCCAAACTGGTTGGATGATGGGGCGTTCACGCTGGGAGTATCTACATACTCCATCATTGATGGCAATGAGGCCATCATCTTTGACGCACACATCACTCCCGATCATGCTGGCGCGGTTATGCGTCACGTTCAGAGCCAGGGGGTAACCAAAATGTCTGTTGTGATAAGCCATTTTCACAATGATCACATCGCGGGAACAAACGTGTTCGCTCAGGGAGGGGCGACCATTGTAGGCAACGAGAAGACGAAGCGCACTGTCGATCGCAACTCGCAGCGTCTAGCGACTGACGATCCACCCATCACGGCCGTGTCACCTACGGATCTGTACACCGACAAGAAAGAGCTGAAGGTTGGAAATCTGACGGTTGAGCTTCACAACTTCCAGGTTCACACTCCGGATGGGACGGTTCTCTACATTCCATCGAAGCAACTGCTGTTCGCTGGCGATACTCTAGAAGATACAGCCACATTCATCGCCCAACCCCGAGACCTACCAACCCATCAGAAAGAGCTTCAGCGAATGGCCGGCTTCCGGATATCAAAGATTCTTCCAGCTCACGGAGAGCCGAACCGAATCGCTGCAGGTGGCTACAACTCGACTTTCATAAACGCAACGTTGCGATACATCGGCGTCATGACTGAAGACGTGCCACAGCCGGCAGCCTGGACTATGCCTCTGTCGCAAGTTGTAGCTGACGATGTCGCCAAGGGGAATCTGATCTACTTCGCTCAGTATGAAGAGGTTCACAAGAGTAATGCACAGTCAATTCAGGAGTCTCGGCAAGGGCGCTAATAGGAAGACGGACGAAACAACGAAAGACAGATATCAGCGGTTGGGTATGGTAAATTGGAATTTGTCAAATTATTGATGGCAGGCTAAAAGATGAAGGTTCATGACTAGTATTCTGATGTGCTGAGTTCCAACAACGTTGTACACATTGGGCCGGGCTTTGTAAGTAATACTTTTGAGAGTTCTGTCTGACGACGAGCATGATCACCAGCCTACGCATCATTTACACCCACAGCCCTCAAGGATACACTCAAGATAACCCACGCTGAACCCCGAGCATTTCATCATTTTCCCAGCCTTAAAGTATTACAAACACTTCCGAGCAACGTAAGACATATGCTTAAAAACCTGGATGCCTGATGACGTGCCATATTCATTGTAGTGTGCAGAAGGCTCGTTGTTACCAGAATCGGCCTACTCTCTGTCACACAATCCAATATTCTGTGCCACTATCTCAACTCAAGTATGTACATTATTTCTCGAAGTAGACCTAATGGCTTTATTGGCAAGGTTGGGTCTCATCGTGAGTTCAATTGAATCGATTCGACATTAGTACCGGGAGCCAATATTGAAAGCACGAATTGATCAAGCCGGCATAACTCACCGAACCCCGCGACCGGTCGAAATGCCGATCACGCAACCGAAAAGCAATTCGTCTGCCCCATTCTCAAAACTTGAAGAATCAACAATCATGCACGCTGCATGTCAGTGGGCCGCGGCATCACCACTCTCTAGAGTGGCGTTGATTAAGTCCATGTCTCGATAACACATACATATGCAAAGCGATACCGAGCTTGTAACCAATAAAACCCAACTGTCTTACGATAAGGTCACACTACGTCAGCACTCATAAAGGCTCGCGTCTCACCTGTCCTAGTCGAAGCCCTCTTCTCCTAGTATGAAACTCTAATTGTTGGAGAGGGACGTGCTACTGCGGCATCCCTAGAGAGAACACCGTGACGTCTGTGGTGCTCTTTGTACGAGAGGGGTAAAACGCTACCAGGAACAACACCCAACCAAGACTTGCTACTACCATCGAAACACAATACCTTGAGCGACCCAAAGCCAAAAGAGCGTTCCAGGCCAGCGTCTGATCGTGTCGGCACCTGCCAATAAAGCCCAAAAACAGGCGAATACGGCGAATACTGAACTCGCCGCCCAGGGTTATCTCCCCTACGCCTTTACAGATTATTAAACTTCCCGAGCGAGGAACCCGAAAGCGAGGTTCCCGAAATTGTAACGACGCGGACCATCCCCCGCGCTCTACCACAATGTCGCCCTCCGCACAGCTAGCCTCCGACGTCCCGGAGATGAATCTCTACAAGCTGAACCGGGTTCACCGCACACTTGAGAGTCTCAAGGAGAAGGATGTCTGGGACGCGGAAGACACCAAGGGGTTTGATTGCATGCACTATCTTGGCGACGAGGCCATCGAGAACGCCGCCAAAGAGCTCGGTCTGAAGGCCGGGAACCGGGTGCTGGATATCGGATCCGGATTCGGAGGCACGGGAAGGTACCTCTACCGGCACTACGGCGTGCAGACCACTGGCATCGAACTTCAGGGGGACATTCACGAGATTGCGCAGACGATCAATGTCAGGTCTGGGGCCGGCGGGAGCGCCACATCCATCAATGGTAACTTTCTGGAGCTTTCCCCGGAGAAAATGGGCGCGCCGGTGGACCACATTGTGTCCTTCTTGTGTATCCTGCACATTCCCGAGCGGGAGGCGCTCTTCGGCAAGGCGCATGATGTGCTCAAGCCGGGCGGCAGGGTCTACATTGAAGACTTCTTTGCGCGCCAGACGCTGGATGACAAGACTCTGATGGTGCTCCGGGAGTCTGTTTCTTGTCCCGACCTGCCTGACAAGAAGGAGTACATCGCAGAGCTGGAGAGGGCTGGATTGGAGGTGGTCAGTTGGGTGGACATGTCGGACATCTGGACCGATTTCGTGCATGACCGTGCAGAGGCATACAAAAAGGACCCATCGGTAGATGCCGACTTGACTGCCTTCTACGATGCCGTGGATGAAGTCTTTACTGGCGGCCAAGTCGGCGGCGCGCGCATAACGTGTTTGAAGAAATAAGCATGTTAGTTTTCTGCCCATAGTGAACACGTAGCATCGTAGACAGCGCAGAATAAAAATTGAGCCTGAACCTCGGGAATCATACCAGAATGGAAGTCCCCGAGCCTGTCCCAGACGCACGCAAGGGAGAATCTCTCGCGGTTACTGGTGTGCCGGGTGGGAGATTGACAGAAGTCGGCGCTCGGGGAAAACCAGCGGTACATTGGTCCGCTCAGTGTGGTGCTCGGGGCCTATTTGCCATGCGATCCGCGGAAGGAATAAAAAGGGCGACGTGCCCGAGAGCAAGAGCTTGTCGACGGACTAGCCCACGGCGTAGGCGGTTACGCCCTACGCAGCGCAAGAGCGGAAATAACTCTAAAAGACAACATTACAGTAAACTTTGCCGACGTTGTTTGATGACAGGCCGCAACAGACTTTTTCCTCTCTACTCGGTAGTTACAGATACGGAGCCGCGCGCGCAGGGAAGGGAAAGGCGCACGATGTTTAGTGATACATATCTGGGGACATGGGGGAATGCACACACATGGGACGACGGGCTATGTGCGTGATTCTGCCAAAATCCTATCTTGCATGCTACCAGTCAGACACCTCCTCGGGGTTTGCTGCGACACTGAAGGACTACTGCGAATGTATGCGCTAGTCGCTACGCGATGTTGGGATAGAGGCGGCCAAAGATTATTCCCTTAAGTCCCCGGACGGAGCTATCCACGAGGGCACGAGCAAGGTTTGGGACCACGGTCTCAACTGCACGAATCAGGGAACTTGCCTTACGGGGAACAATGCCCCAGTTTGGAAAGAATGCTTTAAAGCTATCCGCATCCCGCCGGCAGATGGGACGTGAGCGCGTACATTACTCTGTCTGTACAGACCATCGTACGCTGGAGTGGCCAATGCGATAACGAGGCTGAGTGTTGTAGGGGGGGTCGTTAATAACGACGTTTCTCGGGTGTCGGTATCGGTCCGAGATGATCGCATATAATCGTTGTTATTCGTTGCAACAAATGGCTGCGGTAACAAATTGCCTATCTTGGACAGAACGGAGGATCGCTTCTGACTCAGCCATTAGCGACGATTACTTGATACTTGACGAGTGTTGATGACTATCTCCCCGGTCGTTAACGACGGGCCCGTCGCAGCGGCCGTCGCAGCGGACATGAGCACCACAACCAAACCCTTGACCGCTGGGTAAAAGAACAACTTGGCATTATGGGGAGGGGGGACAGTTCCTTTCTCGTCTATTCGGTTGGCTCCAGGGTCGAGATGGAGCGGTTAAGAGAACCGGGGTGGTTTAGTGATCTACGCCGCTACAAAAGAGAGACAGGGGGCGGGCTCCGTCGGTGAATTGGAAAATTCCATGGTTCGGCCGGTGCGGAGGACTCCGCATCGTGAGCGTCCGTAGTCCGGCGCATGCCAAGTTGGCATCTTTTGGCGTGTTCCAGGCAGTAAGTTTCCGTGACATGTATAGGCTTGGTGATGATTCGGGATTCTAAGTCATTCAAGACTGGCACGCTTTTCTAAAACCCTGTGCATCTTGCTTCACAGATTTGAGGCTTTGCGGCCATCTGCATATCGGCAACTTATCAACGATTTCGGCGTCTTACATGAACAACCGCAGCTTATGCCAATGCCAACATTGAAGATGTAATACAAAGTGATTACGGGCTAGTGACTCACTTTTACCAAACCAAGTCGATAGCGCGCCTACTGGTCTCAATGGCGCGATGCACGTTTGATACAAGGTGGCGAATGGTAAGCTTGCTACGCCAACGAGCTAAGCAATACGCGGTATATATACGTATGGCGTCCAAAAGTACACACTTCAGATCACGTATACTAGACGCAAAGGTGTGGCACGCACTCATCACATGCGTGGCGTGCGGGGATTGGGCGCCAAAGGGGGATAGTGCTCGTAAGACTTGGCCTGCATCGCAAATGCAAAGATGGATGGAAATCATGCGAGTAGCAGTAATACTCTCTCTGTGTTGTGGTGAAAGCGAGCAGGGGGGCAGGAATTTCAAATGATTGGTCTGGTCTTTGATAACAAAACCGAAAGGTTGTTGGTTGACATATGGGCAACTGAAGCAACGCGAAGAACCATGTCCCGTACGACGAACGGTCGCCATTTCGACGACAGCATTGTTCAGGCTGTGGCCGGAGAAGAGAATAGCCATGCTCGCTTTTGCGTAAGCAGGTAGGTATTCCAACAGGCGCGGGTGACATTGGGGTCAGTTACAGAGTTGTTCGGTTTCGCAATCATTCGCCCCTGATTGGATCCGTATTGTGGGATACCGATATTGAAGGGGCCATTTGACAAGTTGCCTGCTAATAACTGGGAGGCATCGGCTAAAAATTCTCGGGGCAAGGTGGGTGTGGTGGTCTCTGCGCGCGGTGATGCACGGCGCTCGGGTGGCCCGGCCGGCGGGATCTCTTTTTCACTGTTTGATTTTTTCTGCCCTCATCCACCCCCCTGCGATCAGGAGTTTAGGAAGACGATGATATTAGATAATCAAAGGTCTCCATGGCGTCATTTCGCGGCCAAGCTTCCCTTTCCCAAGTAATGTAGGCGAGGAATGCTTGTGACTCTGGGCTCGTACAGTATCAGTTAGAGTCAAATTCCTACCGGGCTCGCTTTCGAGAACGGGCTTAGTGTTTTCTTGGTGCAACAGTATCACCGGGCTTCATCGGATGCCGCAGCACACGAGTAAGGTTGAAGATGATTTGATGGTTGTCGGACTGACCGTCCGCCGCGGGCCTGTATGCATGTATGTATGTGTGTATGTTAGAGTTGCACGCGCATCCCATGGACGGCGTTGGTTAAAAAAAAAAAGGGGAAAAAAGTGCGTGTATTCCGTGGAGCTCCGCTGGACGCTCGCGAACCGTTGCGCGGACAGAGAGTTTCCAGATCAGTTTGATGAGATGACTCTGATTAGTCTGATCATCATATAATGTACATCAGTAGAGAGGAAGATTCAAGAAGAAGAAAGTTTCGCCTGGGGATTGGACCGTGCTGCTGTGCCGCCGGTTGGTGGTCTCTGCTGTAGCTAGATGATTTATTGGTGCGTACAATGACTGTAATGGGGTTAGACGCCCCGTGGGCCGACTTGCTTCTTCCGGAATACGATCCAGCACAGAGAAAGCGTATCTGTGCCCGTAGGCCCGTAGGGCGTTTGTCATTCAATTTTTCTGTCTGCCCACTGTCGTCGGCGTTTGCGTTTGCGGCGCTGGATGAATGGGTCACCGAGAGCGAGCATGTCGGAAAGTGTGTGCGACGCCAAGGGTGGCCAGCACTTGTATCAGTCGTCGCCAACTTGCTCCGCCCCAGCTGTGCGCTACGAGTACTTTTTTTTCTTCGTTCATTCTTCGGTTGACGGCGAAATGGGGCAGATGCGAGCAGAGGGGTCTCCCAGACAGGGCTGTTAGTACCGATTAGCCACTAGCCATACAACTGTATCCGTAGAGGGGATGAGGTGGGATTAAGCCGCGGGATATTGGGCCAGTAGTGAATTAAGGTACAATCTGCATCCTGGTCTCACTAACAGAGATGCTGGGCAGTGGGCGATTTGGGGGAGGGTCAGTGTCACTGTGTCAGTCCGAATGCAGGATAACTCCGTCCGTCTGAGCTCCATTCGTACCAGTGACGGGTCAAGAACGAACGCGAGGTGGGCGGAAGAAGGCGAGATTGAGTTGCGCGTCGTGTCGGAATTGCAGTCCGCGGCGTCAAGATGGCCCTGTCAGACCTGGGCTCAGGCTCAGGCTCAGGCTCAGGCTCATGTTGGGTGAGTGGGAGGTGACGGGACGGCGTCTATGATTTTCAATCTGTGACATGGGTGAAAGGGGGGCTAGTACGAAGTCTACACACATACTGACAGAGAAGAACTAGTGTGCGCCGACCGAGTACGCGGATTCGACATCCTGGTGGGCTGGCCTGGGCTTGGCTGGGCGCAGAGAGGTGAGGTGAGGCGGAGATGCGATTGGGGATCGCAATGGTGTTTTTCGGTAGAGAACAAGATGCCGATCTGCTTGCTAGACTCATGGCAAATGATACAATGACAAGCACAGAGCTGGTGAGTGGTGGTGTTATGTGGCCGTCCCTGCGGCGCTACGCTGAGCCAAGGCCCAAAAGGCTACATAGGTAACGCTACGCTACGGCCACTTTAGCAGAAGGGCAATGTGTGAGTGAGTTCCTGTCCAGTTGCCATTATGGAGGAAGGGGGGAAAATAGTTTGGGCAGGGGGTTGATGAATCGCGTGGGACACGGGCGAAAATTACCAGAAGTGCAAACACTGGGAATTCAAGTGGCCAATCACAGGGTTAAGCCGGTGCTGTATGACTGTACGATATACCCGTGCCCTACCTTTAAAGTGCGTCGGGGAGGAGTCCTTGGATGAGGTGGCAGGGGAGAGGGGGAGGTACCCGGCGCTCTACGAGATACCTCTCGGATAAGTATCCTTTCTTGTTTGCGAGCATGTTCTTGGGCATGAGGACCCTATCCGTACTGCCTGGGTCTCTGGGTCTCTGAGAGTGCTAGCTAGGGAAGCGGCCGGTGGGCGCGGTGGCCCAGGCACACATCCAAGTCTCCTCTCTCGGATGGGATACGACGAGACCGCACTTATGGTTCCGTTCCGCGATAATGCGGCATGTCATGGTGAGGGGCGCATGATGGATAGGCTACCCGTGCTGTCTGAGAATAGCAAAAGGAGGTATCCGTACATGCGCGGCAGGCAAGCGTATGATGGTCGATCTGTCCTGTCATACCAAGGACCGAACAGGCGAACCGTATCGGTAGGCGTTAGTGCTGAGGCTTGGTGTAAAGAGGGCGGCGTAACGAGAGGAGACATATGGTGGGATTATGGGCATGTGTGGTAAGTGAGACTGAGACTTGACCTGAGATAAGGAGTCGAGACGGGGGTCTCGGTCCATGCCACCGGCGACAATCAATGGTAAGGGTATTCGTCATATTCGGCTCGGTTTCTGTTTCTGTTTCTGCTGGCGTACGCAGTGAGTGCACTTTGTACGCGATGCCGAGAAATGCGACAGCTCGCAGGTGAGCATGTCATGACTGACAGGTTAGGTAAGGCATGGTGTATGTCGCAAGTGTACTGTGTAGGTAGATTGGATGGAGGCGCAGAGGCAGGGCGTAAAGGGCGTCTGGGCAGGGCGCGGCGTGGATGGATATTGGATGCGGCGTGGGTGTTGTTGGGATGCCGGGAAGCGGATTGCTCCATGGTTCAAGTGCCATGGCATGGCATGCCATGGATGGCTTCAGGACGCAGTGCAGTGCTCTCTGCTCTGCTCGCTGCTGCCGAATCCATGATGCGTCTCCCATCCCATCTTTATCCCTTGCTCGTTTCTAAGTGCGAAGTGGTCGGCCGAGGTGGAGCCGGGGAGCCACGAGGATGATGTGCAATTTTAGCGTCAGGAAAGGTTTACTCGAAGAGGATGAGGGTGCGGAATGGGGATTATGTGATGATGATAATGAAGGCGTGTCTCTTGTGTCGGGTAATCGGGAAACCCTCGGCGCAGTGTGCCGGTGGGTGGAAACGGAGACCGAGGCGCCCATCTTGAGGGGATTGTAGCTCTGATACAAAAGGCACTGCCCAATGTCTGATGTCTGATGTCTGATGTCTGATGTTTGGTGTCTGTACGGATACTAGCAAGTGCCTAACAAATGTCCAATGTCCCCGATACGTAGCGTTCCGGTGGGCGTATCCAGTCTGCTCAGTGCTCAGTGCTCAGTGAGGTGAGGAGCAGTGTCAAAGTGAAGTGTGTGCCACTGGCCAGTGTCGTCTTCAGGCTCGGAGTTAATTAGTAGTGTCAGCCGGTGGCATGTACGTACCCCTTTTTTTTTTTTTTTTATTCTTTCCATTTGTATTTCTTTTATTGCGGAGCTCCCTCCATGGCAGCAGGCAGGCAAGGAAGGTACTTCGCTGGCCAGGTATCTTTTCTAGAGGCAGGTACCTCCCCTCCCAAATAGAGGCAGTGTATCCGTACTGGTGGACTTGGACTGGGCGGCGTAAGGAATGCAGCAATAGGCCGCTGATAAACCAACATTACCCAGCCGAGTCTCTAGTCTTGTAGCCACCAAATGAAGCACTTTCCCCTACTGCCTGCCCAGAACGTGGTTGTAGTACTTGTGCATGTGTGAGTGTGTACCTGCTGTTTCTTCTCTTCTGCCTTTTTGATTGAGAGGAAGCACACGGGAATTGCATTGCCTACCTACCTACCTTACCTTACCTTACCTTACCTTACCTTACCTTACCTTACCTACTCGTACTTACCTGTTTCGGTACCCTCTTATTTTATTTTGTCCTTCCTTCCTTACCAATTTCCATTCCATACCTTCCATACCTACTACCAACCTCACCTCCCCGTATTCCATACGTTCTTTCCCTACTTAGGTACATTACGGACTGCTCCTGAGCCCATCGCAACACGTCCTCGCTTGCCCTCCTTCTTTTCGTTCACCTCCCCTTTCCCTTCCAGGCCTTCCAGGAACTCCCCCAATCCACATCATCTCACTCTTCCTGCCTCGTCTCGTAGGCCACTGTAAAAAGAAAGGTACGTATGCGTCTGTTGCATCTCTCGCTCTCTCTTTACGATAGCAGGTGTCCACTTTCCTTACCTTACCGGCTCCTCTCCCGTTCCTTCTTACCTTTACCTTACCCAACTCGCGTTCCTTCCTGCCATCACCGTCTCTTTCCCTCATGCACCTACCTCGCCCTGCCTTCCTTGGAATCCACACTTGCCTTCCTCACGTGAAGCCACTTTCCTCGCCTTCTTCGCCTTCCTCGCCTGCTGGAAGTCGCTGCTGTCCTTCGGACTAGAGCATTCTTTCCCGAAACAATGGTTTAATTGACCACCCCTGGTACCCCGGCATCCAACATCTTCTTTTCATTCACCTCTGGGCCCTTCACCTTGCGTGAACATCGTCGCCCTTTGTTACCCACCTCGGCGGCCCTTCTTCTTTTTTTTCTTTCCTCCTTCACCACTCACACACCCAACAAACACGTTTGTTCCTTGACACAACTTCTATTTTCGACCACCCACGACTGCCCGCATCCACTTCTCAGCTGCGTCTGCCTGGGACTAGACTAACGACGCAGCAGTCATCCATCAACAACAGGCAGACGCCATCCACTAGCCGCTTTCCTTTCTCTGATCAAAAGTTCCTTCCGGACCCATCAACGTCACCTTATTACCAACGAGTCTGGACGGCATCTCATCACCACCCACTTCCACCTCTCTCGACGACTTCTTTTCCTCGGCCTGTTGACCATTTTACCGGCAGTTCTGCTCTCCTCTTCTCTCAGAAAAATTGTTGAGCGCGGTTCCTACAGTCTGATAGGCAAACGATAATTCGCAAACAGCGCTTGTCAATTCACACCGCAGATTCCAAACTTGACGTGTACTCTCGGTCGTCTCATTACGGATTCTATTTTTTCTGACGCGTCTGTTTGTCGGCATCGGGAAATTTACAACTTTGCCGTTGTCCTGACAGCCTATTCGCCACGCGCTTTCAAAAACAGCTGAGGCGGGCTCATTGTGGACAAAGCGGGATTTCATCGCGGTCACCACCAAGTAAGCGGTAGGTTTCTCATGGTCTGATCTCTTTGGCACTGCCAAAGTGTACACAGTCTTTGTATGGCTGCTAACGAGGTTGCAGGTCTGTAAATCGGACAACTTGGGAATTGCGGCATGGCTCGACGACTTTGAGTCAGCCCCTCAACTCCAACAAGAAACTCAGCAGAAGCAATTCTGCTTAATCAAAAATCGCCTCTCATCATCCATGGTTATTTCCATTACCCCCGAAATGGCGAGTCAAGGTTCTGCCGTGGCTGCGGCCCAGAGCCATAGCCGACAGGCAAATCTGGACCAGGAACGAACCACGTGGTTCACCACTTTGGAAGCCTACAAGCGACGCTTCGAGGCTGAGAAGGAGGACATCAAGGCCAATTTCACCCGCGAAACGCAAAATAGCTGCCGCGATCTGGAGGAGCAGGCGCGTTTCATAGATCAACAGAATCTGCCGCGGCCGGTTCTCGATCTTTTTCTTCTCTACCAGGCCGAGATCAAGAATCGCCGCCTTGCTGAGTGTGACCGAGAGTACGAACGCTCCGTCAAGAGCTTGGAGGCGCAGGAGAAGGAACTGTTCCGCCAGCATCACCTGACGTTCCCGCTGCCGACATCATCAATGTCAAGAAGTGTGGCTCACGCGCCGCCAACTGTGGCCTCTTCTGCAGCGGCAAATCGTACACCGACCCCTGCTCAGGTTCAGCTACACACTCAGGCTACCCAGCACAATCAGACTGTGCCGCCAAGACCAAATGGCCAGGCGTCAAGCAACATCAGTTCCGCCCCAATGCCAACGCAACAGAACCACCAGCAATGGCAAGCGTACGGCCAGCTTCCATCGCATCACGGCCCTCCTCACATGCAGGCAAATATGTACCAGCAGAGCCGCCCAGGAGCTGTGACCAAAGCAGCAGAGACTGCTCCCCGGACTCTTCCCTCAAACGGCAGAGCACCTATCCTCGGCAGTGGAATGTCCGGTCCTATGCAAAACTCGGTTTCGAGCCATGGCCCAGGCGGTGCTGGTAGCCCTCATCTGATGAGCCATCCGGCTGAGGCTGGTCGAGGTGCACGTGTGCCGATTCCCCCCATTCATCAGCAGATGCAACATCCTCGTGAGGATAGATCTACAATGGTCCGAGTTGGCAATGGCATTCATCTCTCTCCAGCACGACAAGACGAATATTCCAGACAGCTCCAGGCAGATCCCCACCGACAACTGAAGCGTAAGTCAGACGCCAGTGAGATTTCTCCTTACCAGGAAATGGATCCGAAGCGTCCACGGACAGGAACCCCTCAATCCATGGCACCTAAAACCATCACCTTCAACGAAATCTACCAAGATGGAAAAGCCGAGTTCAAGCACACGATCGTTAAGTTCGAGGATATTTTCTACATTCTGAAGTAAGTTGTTAAAACAAAAACTCGTCGAGATAAAAAACTGTGTCTGACCAGGTAAACGTAGGTGCGACGAACACGGTGTTCACTTCAAGCAGAATGCGCTTGCTGCTGCGGCGAAGCATCTTCACGGAGCTTCCCACGGACACCAAAAGAAGGAACACAGACTGGCTATCCGAACGATCGGTTTCCACGTCGTGGACTGCACTGAGGAGCTTGCAAAGCTGAACAACGACTTTGTGCAAAAAGCCTTCGAGAATGGATACAAGCCTCTTAACCAGCTGCATGGCCCCAAATCCGGCGGCAAGCGTCAGTCCAACCACGATGTGCTCGGTGCGTCGCCGGATCCTAGCCCGCGAGGTCAAGCTGTCCTTCGGCAGAACCCGAAGGAAGAGTTCACAGACTTTATCACGGATTTTGAGGCTGGGGAGCTCTACTGGGCTATCTGGCCGGCAGATAGGAAGATGTATCCGGTCATGGTCCTCGGTTGGAAGGATCTCGCGCGATGTGGCTGGCACGATATGAAGTTCTGCGATTTGAAACTCTTCACGGACAAGCAAATGCGACCAGCATGCTACATATTCGATGCGGAGGGTATCGCTGGCTGGGCTGAGGGGTACAGAGACGGGGAGCCGAACGTACTAGCTCGACAGGCACCGGTGATGTGGTTTGAGAATAACGGGGAAAACCGCCTTGGATGGCTGAGCGCTAGGTACCTGAGACCTTTCCGACTGGATGACCCAAACAGGAACACGAATCCCAACTCGAACGAGAGCCGGGCACGAAAGCTGTATGCCTCTCTACGCGGCTTCAACTCATGGGAGGAGATGCGTGCGAGGCAACTGGCCTTGCAGTCGCAGAGTCCCGCGGGTCCGAGTACGTCTGCGAAGGCGCCGTCGCCAGAGTCAGAGTCGGACTCTGCCTCGCAAGACGTGGACATGTACGACTTTGGCGACAACCCTCCGAAGCTTGACGACTCTGGGGACGAGGACTATGTGGATACCAAAAAAGGCCGTAACGACTCGGACGACGAAATGGCAGATGCGGAACCCACGACCCCCCAGCCCCTCAGACGGAGCACTCAAGAGGTGCGCCCGACGTCGCGACTGAGCGAGAGCATGGGATTACACCGAACTGGAGCAGCGGCCGGAACACGCTCTTCGGCGAAGAAGGACCCTGTGGGGGCGGACAAGGACACAGACTTGGCCGAAGTGCAAGGCACACCGTCTAAGAGCCGAGTGATCGCCGAGGATAATGAAACCACAACGCCCAACAATGTCTCCAGCAACTCCCGAGATATCCCGCAGGTTGCTCTCGGCACACCTGCGACCCCGAAGCCTGACGGTGTCTCGAAGGGAGCGGAGAATGACACGTCGATGGTCGATGCCATTTCCGCGAGACAACTGGCCGAGATGGCACAGAGCAAGCTCTCCGAAAAGCGCAGCATGCTCGAGGACCCGAAGGTGACAGCAGGCCGGGCCGTGGAAAGAGGTGGTGAAAGCTCCCACGACGACAGGCGTGAGAAGTCCCTTTCAGTTCCCGCCAACATAGCCAACAATAATGGGGAAAGGAGCGGCGCGTCGAAGTCGCCCAGTCTGGAGAAAGAATTCCCCAAGGTCAGCCCGAAACTGCAGGTTGCCAACCTTCTCAACAGCACCGTCTCGGACAAGGCTAAGGGACAACCGACTCCGACGAACACCTCTACGCCGGCGGAACCACGACGACCTCTGCCCTCGGAAGCAGGAGGGGCAGCCACTGGGGCCAAGCAATCGGCACCGATGACACATGCATTGCCACCCAAGCCCTCAGTTCAGGTGCAGCCAGTCCAGCAACCGGCCGACAAGTCCTCTCAACCGGAGCCTAGGAAGGACCTGAGCATTGAAGTCCAGGCCAGCCCGCAACTATCTGTCAACGGGCAGGGGAGAGAGGGTAGTAAGCAGCCTTCGCCGACGGAGGCATCCAGAAGTGCCAGTGTTGAAAGCACGCAACGCCGATCCGACCCGCGAATGAGCATCAGTGCTCTCGACGATAAGCCAACGACTCCGCAGCCGACGGCGGTAAATGGGAACAGCATTGTTGTGAACGGAGGGACTGCGTCTGGCAACAGCACTCCGAGGCTTTTGACGAAGAACGTGGACGACCGATGGCGGGCGGTACGGACATCAGAGTCGCCTCACATCGCACCGGCATCGATCCGGTCTCCTCTTGTCGACCGTAGTGCGGCGGCATCGCCCGTGTTGGGTGGTAAGAAGGAGCTGGGCGGTCTCTCGATCGACGTGGCGTCTTTCTCGGAGGGCAACAGGAGGTGGATTGGCGGAGGAGAGAATTTGCTGCACTTCCACATCGAGGACGATGCACGCGGGGTTGCACGAGGCGAGGCGAAGGACGGCTTCGCGGCGACGGTGGATGCGCAAAGGGTCAAGGCGGCCCAACACACAAAGGAAGCAGTTCGGCTTGTGCTCAAGACCGAAGACGGCACGCCGTTGGAGCAGCGGTTCACGTTTGAGACCAATTCGTTGACGGGAAGTTCTCGATCAAGCGGCATGCAGGCACTCAAGTTTTATCAGTGGGTGACGAGGAAGAACGAGGAGATTGAGCACCTGGGGTAGACGGAGAGCGAGGAAGGCAGCAATTGGGGTTGAGCAACGATTCTCATTTGTTACGTATATGAGCATATGGGGGGCCGCTTTGAATGGTCTCTGGCATGGGACTGCGGTGGGCGTCGTTTAAGGTAATCAAAGACGGGATACCTATGGGGCGTTTATGGACAGGGAAAAGGACCAGCTGTTGTTTTTACATGGCAGAGTTTTGTCGCAGTTTAGCGAAAGATTGATATGCCTTGAGCAGAAGGCATAGCTCGTACAGAGGAGAGGCTTTAGCAGGGAGTTGAGAAGGTGTCGACAAGATATTTGTACTATTCAGCCATTGCTTCCCGTCCGTTGAGTGTGTGATGTTGGCTGGAGCTGGGATCCATGTGATTGATGTGTGTTGTGACAAGGACCAGCTTTTGTGGATCCATGGATCCATCCACAGCTGTGAGAGGTGTGCTGTCCGTCATTCGCATTTGCATGTGATTGCCGGGGAATAAAGCAGGCCGGGGATCGAACCCAACCAACCCAGCCCAAGCCAATCCAATGCAATCCAATGCAGTGGAATGGCGGGCTCCATGCAGGCAACAGTGGTGACGGCGGGGTTGGAATGCGCGTGTAGCTCCACCGTCTCGCGGGCTACAGGTGCTGTTTGCGCTGGAAAGGGACTTGGAAGGGCGGGAAACAGACCTGACGCTAAAGGGGACGGAAAAGCTGCAATGGGTGTCTCACGTGGCCGGGGATGGTGAGTGAGAGGAGGGGAGGGGAGCTGCATCCAGACCCGCGGTTAAGGTACTGTGACCTTCCCTACCTTACCTGAGGTACCTGAGGTAGCCTTAAGGCGCCTTGGGCCTTCCTTTATCGTTGTCGCATTTCTGCAGCACCAGGCAGGCACCTCCGAAGAGTCCGTCGTGTCTTCCTTCCTCTGGCAAACGCACCTTCCTGGACGTCTTTCTTACCTTTTCAACACCAAAACACCAAACTCTGCATCGACACCAACAACACGCCTCTCGGAAGCCTGAAGCCTGAGCAGTCGACGACACACGCTGCCCAATGCCGAAGACACGGACACTGGCGAGCTGAAGCTGGGCGAGTGCGACACACAACCCATTCCCGTGTCCACCTACACTGCAATCGAAGCGACCGATGACGTTGCGATCCACCGGCGCGACCCGACACCGACGAAAGCGCATGCGCTGCTCCGTTCCCCGCGACGACGGCATTCCATTCTCCCCGCGGCTGGGCTTGGCCCCTCGATCTCTTGACCTCTTGACTTGACGCCTCTCGTCCTCGTCCGCCATCTCGACCTCCCGTCGTCGTCGACGAGCCGCAACCCGACGAGGTCCGGCCAGCGAGCAACACCCGCAGCAACCCGCAGCAGGGCCCCCCGAAGATCAGCGGAAGCCCGGACATTGATGGCTGCCTTTGTGAGCCACCACCTCCCCCTGCTCTTTTTCTCTCCATCTGCCCCGTCCATCGGCATCCAATCCAGCCAGACGAGTTGCCTGCCTGCCTGTTGTTTGCCTCCACTCCTCTCCGTCCCATCCATCGTCGCATTGCCGCATCCTTGCGCACTGCGCTGCGAGCTCAGCAGAGCAAAGCACTCCAGCAAACAGAGAGAGCTCCGGACAGCTGTCACCACCAACCACTACACTACACTACACCTTTCTTTACCTTCCTCGGGCAAACACTTGACCACCACACGGCAAAAAGCTCCTCGGCCTGCCCTCGCGCTTTGGCTCTCTCTCAACGCATCAGCCACGTCATAACCTCACCTGCCACATCCTCTTCCCTCTTCTCCAACTACGTCGACTCTCTCTTGCCCTGCACCCAAATGGCCCTCGCCTCGTGTGCCTTTCTGCAGCGACACTGACTTGCCCGGCCGCCGCATCGTCTGCTGCTGCTGCTGCTGCTTGTCATCTCGCATCCATCGTCTATCCACCCCCAACAGCCCGGCTAACCTCCCCGTGCTTCGCGTAGGATACGCCCTGGCTAGTCCACATGTCGACCCCGAAAGCCCACCGCGGCCCCGATGCCGACTCGATCGATCCCTCCCAAGCCAGCTCCGGCTACGACGGCACACCCTCCGGCGCGCCCCCCACCTACGCGACCTTCTCCCCCGTCACCCTCTCCGCAAACACCCCGAGCCGCTCCTCCCGTCGCTCAACAATCATCGTCCATCAAAAGTCGCCTCTGCTCCTCGCCACACCACCCCAGATAACACGCGCCTTGGCATACTCGCATCCCTTCTTGCTTCCCCTCAATAAGCTCGCTGGGTTGCTGACATGGACCACCGACGACCCGTGGGAGAGCTTCCTCCTGCTTGCCTCCTTCTGGGCCGTCGTGCTGTACGGAGACATTGTCGTGCGCATGGCCGGGCCCATCGTCGTCGTCCTGACCTTGATACTGGGCATGTATGGCCGTCGCTTCAGTCCACTGAGCAGCAGCGGATGGACAGAACCGGCGTCCAAGGATGCTGCCGGTGGACAGGCTGCGGGACCTTCGGCTGCAGGCAAGGGACAGAAGCTGGCGCCGAAGAGTAACACAACCGGCAACGCCGCAAAGGGACACCAACGCAACGAGTCGGAGATCACAAACACAAGGCACCAGAAGACGTTGGACGAGATTGTCGAGACCCTGAAGGAGTTCACCGGACGGTGTAACGTGCTCCTCGAGCCGCTACTCGAGCTGACGGACTTCCTGAGCACCCAGCGGACCCCGACGTCGGCCACCACCAGACCGGCTTTAACAACGCTCTTCGTGAGGATACTGTTCTGCACGCCGTTCTGGGTGATTCTGACTCTACCTCCTCTGCGCATCATCACGACGAGGAGGATAGCGCTGCTCTTCGGCACCCTAGTCCTGACATGGCATGCCAGGGTCATGCGCGTCGCTCGAACACTTCTGTGGCGTAGTGCAACGGTTCGCAAGACGGCTGCTCTGCTCACCGGCCTGACGTTTGAGAAGCCTGTCAAGGCAATTGCGGTGGACCTGTCTGCGAATGGAGAACCCGGCAAGGTGCAGGCGAAGCGCCCGGCGACGTCAGAGCTGACCAAGGCCTTACGCCAGCAGTCTCACAGGCACAGCAACAACGCCACAAGCAAGGACGCTGGTGTGAAGTTCACATTCATCATTTACGAGAACCAGAGACGGTGGGTCGGCCTCGGCTGGACGCAGAGCATGTTCGCCTATGAACGCTCTGCATGGACTGACGAGCACAACAACCCTGTGCCGTCGCGTGACACCTTTGAATTGCCCGAGGTTGAGGATGGTAGCAACATGCGCTGGCGGTGGGTTGAGGGCAGCAAGTGGCGGGTTGACGGTGTGCCCGATGATGGGACCGAGCCAGTGGACTATGACGGGGAAGCCGGTAAGAACGGCTGGATATACTACGATAACAAGGTATGCTTCTCCTTGCCAAGGAAGCAACGAGGCTAGAACTAACGGGCACAGTGGCAAAACGGCCGCCGTGGATCAGACGGTTGGGGGAGATGGACGCGCCGGAGAAAGTGGTACCGCGATGCCGAACTGGTGGAGGTTTCCGAGGACGAGATTGCACACGAACTCGACGCAGCACAAGCGCCGCCGCGACCCGGCTCGCCGATAGGTAGTCCCCCGGGTCCCGCCCTGACGACTCAGAGATACAGCACTCTCGAGGAGAAGATGGTTTCCCCCGCACAATCAACGCCGGATCTAACGATACATAACAAGGATGCGGAAAGAGAAAAGGACGATACGGCGTCGACGCTATCGACAAGCTCCGGTGGAAGGTCGTTCTTCAAGACGCCTTCGCTCAGGAGAAAAGTTACGGACAGGAGCATCTCGAGCAAGGTCGACACGGAGCAGGACCGCAGCCGGAGGGCCAGCGAGGCCAAGAGCGAGGAGGAGGCAGCGGCGTTGGGGCTGAAGCTCAATCTTGCTCTGCAGGGTAAGGACGGCGGGCAATGGGGTATTGGCGACGAGGCGAGGATGAGCCTGGAGTAAAGGCGATTCCCGCCGTGGCCAGTATTATGACGCTTCATCTTCTCCTTTCAATTGGGAGGGCATGGTTTGTTTGGACGGACGGATGGACGGGCATTTTTGGCGTTGTCGGTTGTAGAGTATGATGGGTCCCGGACGGAATTATGATTTGGAGTAATGATGTAGCGTGTATAACAGAGATATGTGACTGATGCCGAGTCTCGCGCGTGCTCGTGTGCTACTGAGACATGAGTCTGGGGTTGGCCAGCTGAGGGGGCGGGGATGAGGTGCTCAGGTGCCAGGTGGTGGTGGGTGGTCATGTGGACCAAACGACACCACAACTTATTGTTATTGACGTTATCGCAGCGCTCAAATACGACTTGCCTCTGTGAAAATAAACGTCGAGTCGAATGTCTCTGTTTCGCTCACTGCTCGAATCGATAACCCGGGGAATCGCACAAAACCGGATCACGCCTCCTTCATAACGTCGCCACGTCACACAACACACGCGGAGAGGTTGAAAACCATGGAAACGGCATCACGGCTCGCCTTGATGGCAATCCTCACGCGTGTCGGCTCGCCCAAGGAGGAGAAGGTGGCGTGGAGCGGGTCGACGGGGTATCTGCCCATCATCACGGTCCAAGACTACGACGAGGAGGCGGCGTTGAGAAGGTTGCGGGTGGACCGCTCCTCCGGCGGCGCTGAGGCGGAAGGATGGTGGGGTCTGAGGCGGGGAGATGTCGCCTTTGCAGCGTTGCTGGTGTTGCAGTGTGTTTCTGTAGTGTTTGTCGAGGGGTGGATTGTGTGGAGGGGTATGTATGGGGAGGACTTTGAGGTGTGGGTTTGGTATGTTTGGCACGAGTTGATGTGACAGGGAGTGGATGCTGACGGGACACAGGTTGGCCGAGGTCGCGTCGCCGGGGCTATTGGTCCTCTTCAGCGTCTCGTTTTCGGGGCTGTTGTTGTATGGGATGAAGGCGCGGACGAGGCTGGCAGATTTGGGGATGCAGGCTGCCGGGTTGGTTATGGCGAGCTTTTGTGGTGTCGTTGTTTGTGCGGGGGGTGTTGGCAGTACGGGGAAAGGGTTGGTTGGGGTTGTGATTGGGGTTGTCTCGATGTGGTGAGTTCTGATATCTGGACGGGTCATCTTGATGGATGGAGGGATGGGCTGACGAGATTTAGGATGCTGTTCTTTGTTGGGTTTTGGGTTGCCGTTTGGAGGTGGTATCGCGAGGATCAGAGGAGGATGCAGGAGAAGAGGGGCAAGGGCGTGCTCAGGGAGAGGGAGAGGGGGTATGGGACTACGTCTGGGGGACTGGTTTTGGAGGATGAGAGCTGGGAGGGACTTGTTGGTGAGCTTTCGTGATGGGTTCGAGGCTGGGGATCAGGGAGAGAATCGATAAACACGACTTATGAGTAGGCGTACGACTTTTGAAGAATTCACTGATATGAGCAGTGCGATGAGATGATTAGCAGTTTACGTGTCATCAATTACCGGAAGCCAGAAATCAGTACCCCTTTCCGCAAGGATTGTAGGGAAGATTGTCCTTATATCAAGGCAGGAAATAAATGCAAGATATTGTTGATATAATCACATTCTCATCATATCACTGGACTGTCATCACGGTGGAAAGAAGTGAGCAATGTGAACAAAATTCTTGAACGGCGGATATTGGTGGTTGCAACACGTCTAGACATAGCCAGGCCAACAGCGGTGCTGTAGTTGAACACAACTGCCCATTCATAGCCTGGCCTGCCCTGGTCATGTTCACAAAAACTTGAAGAATCGAGAGAGTTTCAGTCCTCTGGCTGAGATGTTCTGGCCAGAGTTAGAACAATCGTCACCACCCCGAATGACCACGTTCCAGTTTTCCGGATGGAAGGCTTGGCCGCTGACGGTCATTGCTTCTCCCTGGTTGGCGTCCAACTTGTCTGTGCAGACGCTCAAGACGCGGCTGGCGCCGTCTGCAATGTCGGCAAAGGAGGTGAGCTCCTTGGGGCTGTTGACCTGAGTTGTTCAGGGATGTTAGATGTGCTCTCAGAAAATCTGCTTGGAGTGGTGGAGTTGTTCACTTACGTCGTTGCACCACCAGATTCCGGTCGAGTTCCGACAGCTTACTCTTCCGCTGTGACAGGTTAGCAGCGCTCCTCTAAAATGGCGTAGTTCAAAACATACCAATTCGCCGGGCCAGCTCCATTGAGTGGCTTGCCGGGCACAGAACGAAGGTAATCAATATCCAGCGTGGCAGCCGAGCGGTTGCCCTCGCGGAAGTTGTGACAGAGCGTGTTCGACTTGTCGTCAAAGACAGCGCGGTCCTGGAGATTACGGGTGGCGGCTTTGTGATCCCAATCCGGGTTCATGCTGCGGAGCTGGCCTGCGACCTCCTCGACCGTGCCGCGGAGCACGAGGTTCTTACCATCTGGACCTGTGATCTCCCATCGAGGGACAAAGACGCCGTAGCCTGGAATGGGGGCCTCCAAGGCTTTGGCACAAGTGTGTGAGGCCCAGAGGGTAAGGAGGAATGCTTGCATGCAGTTCTTCAACATGTTTGTAGGAGATCAAGTAACGTTGTAAGAAGTTTTTGTGATAGATCGAGATACTGCCTGATACCATCTACAAACTGCCGGGCTGCAGAGAGCTTTTCTAGATATTCATAGGAGCTTGATGATGTATCCGTATCCAGTTTAGTTTAATGATCAGGCATCGGACGAAAAGCTACGCTGGCGGCTTCATCATGCAAATCACGAACCCCCTCACCGGGTTGGCATGTTCTCACGGAGGGAGCTTGGGCCCTACACCCTCTCGATATCTGCCAAGACATGCCGTTCCGCGACTGCCATTCGGTCGTCGCTGTGGTGTTTGTCCATCTTGTAATAAGAGGGAGCTTTGCCGCGTGTTCTGGGAAGAACGGGGATGCGTACAGGCGATGGTAATCACCAGGATGCCACTTCCGTGACTGGTTTTCTTTTAATTACTCAGCTATGTATCAAATTCAGGTTCGACATTTACGAATCATTTACGACATGATGTAGATTCATGGCAGCTGTTTTTGGTCAAGGTCCGTTCTCTCATTCAACCCCTCATTCCGAATCCGGTCTTCCACACCGGCTGCCCGAGTCAACCTCGACAGCCTCATCCATGCGTTGTCAAACTATGAATGAACGTCATGATACCAAGGTGGGCGGGATGTGGTGTGCACCTTGGGCTTCTTATCACAGTTATGAGAGGTGGGTGGGTGTTTCGAGAATCGGCCTCGTCAACGGTATGGCTTCTCGAACGTCCGCTGCAAGCTTCCGGAGCAGCCGCTGGTCACTCATTCGTGGACTTCGTGAAGCCGGTGATGTGCAGCGGTTTCTGTTTGAGATCAGATGCGGTTCATCTAAGGCCGTGCTGTGTCTGGTGAAACATGATGGGAAATGGAAGATTCTTTGGAAAGTAACTTCACCATTATGACTTCCAGGCTACTCGTCGAGAGACCTGCGTTGAACAGACTGCCGGATGCTTCGGTTAGTCCTGCTGACGCCAGCATCCACCGAAGGCAGATGATGCGAAGATGCTCGTAGTTGAAGTGGCACTGTTGACGGCACAAGTCATAGGGGCATGGTATGAATGATGAACGTGAAGATGACAAGAGCGGAGATGGACATAACACAGACATCGGAACGAGATATTAGTCGATGCAACCAGGTCATATTGTTCGGTTAGCCCGAAGTATCCGGCCGCATATCAAAACTCCTCTATTGTCCAGCATTGCTGTGCACCTTTTTGAGTTCCAACTTACCCAATATTCAAGTGCTTCTGTGTAGAACTACGCGCCGACAGTCAGCCAGAGAGAAGCTTCCGGTTAGTGTAGAATATAATCAAGAGAATGAGCATTACCAGGGCTCCAATCGTGCAGACAATTATCAAAATACGCGTGCCTAAGTGCACCTGCAACTTGCTCTTCGAACACGCTAAGCGCCCTCCTTCTGCATCGCGCTCGGTTCGAGTATCACCTCCCCGAAGGTTTGGGACAAACTCTTCGGCGTTTTCATTTAGTTGCGGCGCGGGCTGACCAGGATGGTCTACAGAAGATGCTTGTTGCTCAGAAGGGAGGGGCATTTGAAGTGAGGGCTCGGCTTGGAACGCGGGCTGATCAGATACTTCTGTAGACGATGCTTGTAGCTCAGAAGGAAAGGGCATTTGAAGCGAAGGCTCCACTGGATTCACATCGAGAGGACTCAACGATTCCGAGGGGGCAGACCGATCCAAACTTGGAGACCCATCGCAATTCTGTTGCAGATCCTGCTGATCAAGTGCGATGGTTCCCGTATTAGCCTCCTGTAACGACTGCAAAGAGCCAGACTGTGAGTCGGGTCCGTTATAATCCGTCAGTATTGCGCTGTTGATGTTCGCAGTCGAAGGCTGGTTCGTTGGAAGGCCAAATGGGATCTGGTCATCATACAGTCGCCGGTTCCACTCCTCATTCGTCAAGGGCTCCTCATCCTCGCCCGGCACTTCGATAATGGTATTTTCACAACCGCACATGGCCCAAATGCTCCCCGGGCGGCAGTTGTGCACCATCTTCCAGTGGAGGTAGTCCATCTGACCCTCATCGCCCGAGTGCTCTAAGGCGAAGCTGGAAAATTGCGCTCGTTCATGAGAGTAAGGATCGTATTCTGGTAGGGGCTGCTTGGAAACTTCTTCGATGGCGGCAGAGAGAGATAGGTTGACAATCCGGAGGGTTTTTCGGTAGACCGCTTTCTCGCCATATTCGAAGGTAGAGGTGTTAACTCGAAGAGAAGGACCACGTTTGGCTGGCGCCGTGACCGGGACATAAGTATGAGAGGCTGGGAAAGACATGTTGCTTACCTTTGGTGGAAATCGGATATTTGGGTATAATGTATTATGTCCAAAGCTGGGAGGTTCTTTTGGTTGTGATTCACTTCGTTGTTGAAGTTGTCTTACTGTGACGCTGGTCACCCAACGTGAGAAGGTGCGGTCTAGGCCCGGGCTTAAGTGTCTCTCCGAAAATGAGTTGACA